CTATTTTAGTGAAAAAATAAAATATGTACATTCATTATTTGTTTTTGCTTTTACCTTGTACTGCCCCAAGGCAAATTAAATGGTGTTATTGAAATTATTTTAAAATATTAATAAAATTAATTTTTTTTTTCCTTATTCGATCAGAATTATCCAGAAATAAGAACTGCTCCCCACATCTTATGATACAAGTTGCTCAATTTTATTACCATATTATTTTGTCATTTCTTCATTGTCCACTCCATATGAATTATTCGAACGGACCAACTAGTAATCAATATATTTGCTTGGTGACAACCAACCAATCATTAGTCTCAATAGTTCATGATTAAAGTACATCCTTTCGAAGTTTTGGACATTGGCCCTTATTGTTAGAAGAAGGTACCAATATAAAGGTCAATACATATAAATTATTGCCAACCAATCCCCTGAAATGTACCCCCCAAGGTCAAATAAACCCTGGTTGAACAACCTATACCTCTGAAAAGATGCTATTTAAAGACGACCTTGAGGTGTATCCCCTGCGTGTGTGTAGCTCGACCAAAGCCACAGCGTTCTATTGCCCGTTACATAAACGATCGTTCAATCCTCTGTTATTAACTTGAGCGGTTCTGGAATTACGTTCTGTTTCGATGATTTCTCTGTCTCGGGTTTATGACCATTATTACTGGAAAAAGGGGTAGTATTTTGTGGCCGGAATAGTTCCATTCATAAAGTAGCCATTGATACTATGCGGCCATATTCTCTGCACGATATATCGTGAGTTAGTGATGTTTACATGTTTTGAAGAAAGTTTCCCAAATCCAGGTTGTTTATATGGATTAGGTCATATTCCAATGATCGATGTTATTTTTATGTTTTCGATGAATTTTAGTAGCTAACAATGTTCATATGGGCACCCTTTCTTTTGCAATGAGTGAAAAGAAAGGATGTTCTCTCGCAAAATTAAATAACGTTTTTATTGTTAACGACTTTTCTATTCTTAGTTATTCCATTAAAACTTTTTCTTTTTTAAAGAAAAAAATGTTTCACGATGATTATTTGATCAGATCGGGTCTCAGTGGATTACTAGGTAGAAATGGGCAGTACTAAATTATTTTCATGATTTGAATACTTTTACTAGGAAAAAGTAGCGTGACATCGACCAGTGCTGAGAGTACTCATGCTGCATTAATCATACGTTAGTTAAGTACAAGAAGTTCTCGCGATGTTATAACCGATATTTTATTTTTCATTTACTACGTCATTATTGTGAATAAAGATGTTAACTTTTAATTATTTACTTAAATATTGAAGAAATATAAAATATTCTACCCCTGTAATTTGTCGAATAAATTACTTTATTACTTTGAAAAGTAAAATAATTCTGAGTAAAGGTGAAAATGCCTTCTCACAGATTGCTTCATTCCAAAACTCCTTTATTGCTCGCTCTGTCAATTCCCCATCCATATCCACATTCAAAACCCTCCTATTCCAATTCCTATCCCAAAAACAGTCAGATAGTTGCTAACCATTTATGGCAACAACATACATTTATTTCATGCCATTCATTGTCAAATATCAATGCTAAATGATAATGTATTTATATATTAATCAGGCACTTTATATTGTTAGATTCAACTTTCAGTTTTCTCAACAGAAACACAAAGCTGATTTTAATAAAGAATTTAATATATTTTCATTTTTTAATTCTTTATTGTTTTCTTAAAAGTTTTTACTGGTCTATCAGTGCAAATAGCTTCAAGTGTCATAGTGTTAATTTTTTTGTATATACCTCCGTTTGTTTTGTATATAGAAAGTTCACCTTATATTTTCTTTACATTATTTCTTTTTTTCGATTGGTTTTATTTTGGCCAGATGTAATCTTTTAATTTTGTTCTATTTTGTTATTCTCAAGGGACTTTGTCTCAGAATATAGTTATTTTCTAGAAAAAATAAAAATAAAATGGAAAGTACTCACGGGAACAGCTGAGTAGTTTTTATAATACTCGTCAATCAAGTCGAATAGTGATTAAAGTACTCGATACTCGAACAGCGCGAATAGTTAAGTAAAATACTTAGTAATTCGTAATTTCTACTCAGCGTACTTTTCGCTCATCTCTATTGGTAGGTATGAATAAGTCAGAAGACAATAAGTAATATAAATGAGATCGGATCGGAAAGTTCTATCCTCGAAATCATTATTTGGATTATGTTAGTCTGCAGATTCTCCTTTTGAAAAAACTCGCTACTTTTTACTTTCACTTACGTATATATGTAATATATAGTAAGGGTAAGTATTGCAATCGTGAAAATTTTCGAATCTCAGTTTTCAACGGAAATACACGTTTTGAGGTCCCCTGAGTTCAAATAACCAAGTGTCGCAAAATGGTCTGTGTGTGTGTCTGTTAACAGTCTAGCTCATAAACGAAAAGGAGTACGAAACTGATATTAAGTATTTAAGGTTTGTATATCGGCCGGATGTGACAGCAACTTTTTCGTTAAAATCGGCTAACCGGAAGTGCAACTTTATATGAACGCTGAAACACATTTTTACAATTTTCTCAAAAACGACTCCAACGATTTTGATCAAACTCGGTGTATCATTGTATAATTAAGTGGTCTTTAATATCATTTAGGTCTTATCCCCGTTGATGTCACTTTACAGGGCTTAAATGCCCAATGTTCATATATGTCTTCCTCTAAAGTACCTTTAATATGGTTTATTTTAAAAAGTTAACCATTTCGCATTATTCAGAGTTACGAAGAAATGCTACATATAACTTTTGAAAGAATTTGATAAATTAATAAAGGAGAAAAAAAATAAAAATGCAGAAAAACCTGCGTTCCTACAGACTGTAGCACCTAAACGAATGGACCGATTTCAATGAAACTTCGCTAAAGTCATTTTCTTCATACCCTTTAAATTTATCTATATAACATACTTCAACGAAAAGAAGCTGGAAAAAAAGTTACGAGGGATGTTAAAATTAAATTCCGAATAACTCAAAAAGTATACGCTTTTTTGTCGATATTGTAATAAAATGTTTCAAAGATATTTAAATTGCCTAAAAAATGAAAGAAGTTTCATCGAAATCAAAGCACTATTAGTAGAGATATCGCTATTTTAAAATATTTTTTTTGTATACCTTTAGTTACCTTCAATCAGATATAAATAGTATTTAAAGATCACGAGCGGAAAAGCGATTATGTCTCACTTTTTTCTAACTTGAGTTATTGGCAAGTTAAAATATATGAAGGAAATGTTACAATTCTCTCGAGTAGAAAGTTCATAGGAGTCTCTCTGTTAAAAATTGGTTTGAAAAATTATTACAAGGCAATGTCCAACTTTTAAGATCATTTTTCCCTTATTCTAGATTTTTTCACAAAGGCTCCTTTCCTACTCCTTCATTCCATTTGTATTCAAATAAAAATTGTTTGTATATTGTGAACTTTTTTCGTTTATTCCCTATCTTCCCAATTCTAGCATGAGAGGGAAGGAGGGATTTTTCTAGAGGTACAACCAAACCTATTCTAACCAGAGTGGGGAAGTCAAATCAATTACTTGTAGTACATTGATCGATGTTACATGGTATTTTTTTTTTAAATCAAGACAAAGAAAACTGTCAGTATTAAAAGGAAATAGACCATATCTTAGTCTTCAATGACTGTTACAGATCTTTTAGGCTTGAAATGTCAGATATATTAACGAAAGGTAGTTAGAAAGGTGCTTAAATTAACATACTTTTTCCAATGTATATGTGAATATCATGCATGTTCAATATTGTATCTTGGGTGCTATAAAATATTCAAATTTATTTTTTTTAATTTATCTTGTCATTTGTTAAGGCTTTTTTAAAACTGCACCAGGTAATGGTTTGATTTTCATCTGCTACCTAACTGCACCGCGACTATTTTGACCAATTTCTATTTGTGGACTTAGTAGGGAAATAGGTGTTTATCGGTTTATTCAATGTCCAGTAGCTTGTTAATGTTTAATTCAACATCAAGAGGGCCCAGATTTTTAGAAATTCTTAATTTATCATGCATATTTAATTCATAATATTATATTATACATTTAATTATTGTTAATGTGTCTGATTATCAGGTGCTTTATGTTTCTTTCTAAAATTAAGCGATTGAGTTAGGATGCGAAATAGATTGTGATAACTAATATGTGTGCTGAAGAGATTAGATATCCTCTTTAATGAACGTGATCTCGTAAACTTTTGTTTGCTGGCATATTTGTTTGCATGTGTTTTCAGATCTGGTTTACATTAGATATGTAGACAAGAACTTATCTTTGCTATAGTTTAAAAATATTGCACATGCTAATTCTCTATAAATAATATTTACTATATATATTTGAATATTAATATATTGGTTAGAGAATCTCTTCTTTCACAATATAAATCAAAATTTATTTATAATAAAAGAATTTACTGTGATAGTTTAACACACATATATATAGTTATACTATACATCGTTTAATATACTATACATCACTATACAGTTTTTTTTAATGAAATCTTAACTTTTATTAAAGCAAATCTTTCTATATATAACTAAAATTATTATTTATTCTTCTCCATACGAAATTTGATTTTGTACTTCATATCTGATTTACATGAGTAAAATGTAAAATAGATTGTGGGTTGACAAATCTTAAGGTAAAATAAAAAAACAGTTAGTACAATGTGTAAGAATTTATTATAATGTGTTATATTTGTAAGCATGTATATTCTGACTTTTCTTAACATCCATAATTTCAAATTATCAAAAGCTATAGTTCCCTATTGTTACTGTGTGCTTTAGTATAAAGGAATCTTTGGATAATTATCCTCTTAAAAATAATTATGAAACAAAATTATTATTATTTTATCGTTCCATATCACTATGATGTATTATAATTTTTTAAAAACCACTTAAATAGTTACGTTTATATATATTATGTATATACACTATACTTTTTTATATATATATATAATTCTATATTATTACAATAATAAAATATTTCTTTACAGGTTTTGTCGCATGCTCTGCTACGAATCCAATCTGGTTTGTCAAAACGAGACTCCAGTTAGACTTTACGACCAGTGGGCAGAGACTGACAGCAGGAGAATGCATCAGGAGGATATATCGCCAGTCGGTCAGTAAGAGCCCGTTCAGCTGTACTGACCCTGGGGGTGTAGGCTGCAGATGGTGAGGAGGGATCGTAGCACATGGTTGCTTTTCTCCTTATCGACAAAATTTAAGCCCGTTTGGGGTTTATTTCTATTTGATAAAGTAGCAGTTATATTCCCCAGGCTTTATTTTAAATTTTAAAAAATAGAAATATTTTTGTTAAATTCAATTATTTTATTTTCATAATTCTTTGTATGTGGAGAAATATTTATTATCTTTGTTAATATATCATTCCTTAATCTAATTTGTTTTGGTATTTCTAATCTCTTTAGAGGTTTTTAAATCAATTTTATCCTGTCAATCTCCGTTTCTTGTTTCAGTCTCAATATTAATTGAAAAGAGCACTTTAACTGGTTTCCTTTTATGTTTATATTCACTGGAATATGGATTTTACTGATCGCTTCAAACTAATAACCATTATGCATATCTAAATAATTATATTCCTTTTAAAAACGTTAAGTCCTCTCCAACAATAATTTTATATTCGTCACCATATAGTATTAAAATACTGTAATATATATACTGTCTACCAAATTAGATTGACGATGCAAAATCAATACTTCTGTTTTAGAATCTTCCTCTCCAAATACTGTCTTTTAAGAAATAGTGCGACATTTTAATTTTATCAAGCCATCTAGCTGATAAAATTAATTTGACCAAAATTCTTTTTTCCTTGATCGAAGTTGTATGGTAATGTTATTTTTTTATAAATGGAATTAACGTTTCCAGAATAATAGAATTCCTGATTTCTTGCTAGAACTTTTCTTTCAAAAGCCTTTCATCAAGCCTGTCCACATCCGTTATACAGAAGTCCTTAATACTATAAAATGGCCTACAAATGAATGGGGATTTTAAATTCGTTTGCTAAGAGAAGTTTCACTGTGCTTTAATTTTATTTTTTTATTTATTTATTTTTTTTTTTTTTGTTATTTTAATTGAAAGCACTCAGTCTCTTAAAACTGTCTCAACTGCATTTCTGAATCAGCATCATTTCCATTCTAACCGGCTCATCTAGCTTTAAGATTTTACAATAAGCATATTTTTTAAATTAAATTATTTTTATCACCCTATCAATGAATATATACGCTAGTTTATAAGTATTTTATTGATTTGCTTGGAAATTTCATGTAAAAACACAAATTAGAGATGGAATCATAGTTAACCGTCAAAATTGTGAAGTGTAAACATCAATATTTTTTTTTAACTTCATAAAAAAAACAATCGATTTTTATTTTAGCTATCTGAGACATTAATAAACCACGAATAACTTTGTTTTTATTGGAGAAGAACTTTATCCACCCATTTTTTAACCTATCCTAATGGTCTGTATATTTGTTTGCAAATTGTATGATAAAAAAGGATTTATTTCGTGTCTTTAAATTTAGACCTTAATTTTTTTTTCTAATTCATTTTTAAATATCAATTATTCCTCGTTTTTTATTATTATTTATCATATTGTGCACAGCACACCTCAATCGAAGCAATATTATCAAAATAGGTTTTTGTTTAAAAAAAAGTAATACTAACAAATACAAATATGATTATTGGTCAATAGTTTATTCAATTTTCGATTTGATTCTGTTCTAATGTATGTAGTATTTATAAAAGAAAAATAATATATCCGTTTTATCAAATTTTTTAAATATTTTTTTTGCTGTTTTCATTTTGACTGAGAAGTATTTTTGATTTCAGGGTATACTCGGATTTTATAAAGGAATAACAGCGTCTTACTGGGGTATTTCTGAGACTGTGATCCACTTTGTGATCTATGAGGCCATAAAAGCTAGGCTAGTCGATCTTCACTCTCTCCAAAGAACTGAAAAGACTTCCAGAGATTTCATGGAATTCATGATGGCTGGAGCGTGTTCAAAAACTATTGCTTCTTGCGTCGCTTATCCACATGGTTTGTATCTTTAAACAAAATTAAATTCATTTACTTACTTAGCTGCAGTCATTTGTTTATAATCGTCATTTTCAACTTCCTTTACTAGTCCTGCAAATGTAACGCCAACACACACCAGTGATTGATTGGTATATTACATTTTTCCTCCCAACCTATAATTTGAAGACCTCAACCTTAAATCTGATTATGAACTAAATATATGTCATTATATCATCAATTTAGCTGTGATATCTCTTGAATCTGAAAAAAAAAAAAACTGACCTTTATACCATTTTGAAAAACATCAATACAATATTCTAGAATCATCCGGTTGGTTTTGAGAGAAGTAAACATAAATTAATAATAATTAAATTGTGCTTTTTATTACTTTTGATTTACAGCTTATCAAAGGTATGAGTAAGAGGTATAAAAATTAATTTGTGTCCATAATTAAGATTTCATTAATTACATCAATGTCACCTAAGGTCTTTCCTTAGTTTAATCAGTACCATTTCTTATTTACCTTCCAATTTTCTATATAGTTGTTTATTTTCTAAATATTTTTTTATTTCTATGATTAACCAGTTTGTCTACCATACCTGGAAAATTAAAGGAATTTCACTAGTTAAAGTATGCGTGCATGAATTTATGATTCAAAATTAAACAGTTGCAAACTGGCATATAAAGTAATTTGTGTTTGTCATTTATAGATTCATGATATATTAGCAGCAGGAAGAATGATCCAATTATTATATAACTATTTTTATAACCTGAAATTTTTCTAAAGATGGTCCGAAAAACTAAGGGAATTCTGTAAAAGGTTTCCATAAGGAGACCTGATTATATTTTTATAAATTCAAAAAAAATTCAACCTCTAACATAATAAAAATGTATACATTTTTCATTTGTTCTAGAAGTGGCAAGAACCAGGCTTAGAGAAGAAGGCAATAAATACCACAAATTTTGGCAAACTTTAAGCTTAGTTTATAGTGAGGAAGGCATTAGAGGCGTGTACCGAGGACTCGGAACGCAGCTTGTTAGGCAGATCCCGAATACAGCCATTATGATGTCAACCTATGAAGCAGTTGTTTATATTCTTACCACCTACTTTAATTCTACGAACCATTTTTATGAGGAGCCAAGGTAGGTCATGTGTATTTATTCTTCATTACTAGTTTAATTAAGTTGATAATATAGAACAGGGGTCTCTAACCCTGTGGCCACCTTAGACAACCTATTCCAGAAATCGCCATGGTAGGCGGAAACTACATCCTTGGACCAGATGATAATGAAAATTATATAAAAACACTCCTGAATTTGATGTAATTGTATATTCTTAAAATTTCAAGTTTAGTGTTATGGTTCAGTAGTTGAGAATCATGGAGGCATGCGCTGGTTTAATACCCAGGATGAACTAACGCGATAGGTTCATTTTCCTGAAGCTTATTGTAAAGCTTCAGCTAATTATAAATAACCAACTCCAGTGGTCTTCTACACTCCTTCAAATTAACAAAACGTAGTGCTGGGAAGAAATATGTTTTCTCAAGTTCATGCATTTGAAAACTAAGTCAAGAGTTGTAGCTGTGAAATTACTGTAAGGACCAATAAGTTGGATTATGTTTGTTTTTAGAATAATAATGTTACGTAATATTACTAATTTATGCATAATCATTAAATTAAAATTTGCAAAAATCTCATTCATATATCCTCTTTTTAGCATAACATATACTCAAACATCCATACAAAATAAACATAACCAAAGAAAATAGTTTTCAAAACCAATGTTACATTTAAAATGTAACTGAGGCTAAACAACATGTATCTGAATTCACTAACAAACTAAATGAAATTCACTCCATGTATATAATGTTAAATAATATTCTTATCTTTTTCTATTTAAATAATGATGTAATCCTATTGAAGTATTAGTTAAGAAGTTGTAAAAAATGTTCTGTGCTATGCTTGTTTAACTAAATCATTTTCTTCTTTTTTTTCCCCTGACTCTTTTGATTATTTTATTTCTTGTTTCCAGGATAATTCAAAATAAGGCTTAAAAGTTATTTGAGTTGAGGAAGTTTTGAGGAATTTTTGTTTGTCGCTTCTTGGCTTCATCAGCTGTTATCAGATTTATTATTTAGAAATGTGTTTTGCTATCAAAACTGTTATTTTTATTATAAGACTTGGATTTTTTTCTTTTTATGATTTGTAAATATAGTGGATAGCTTTTTAAAACTTATAATTATATGTATATAAGTGTACATTATGGATAAGTGGATTTATGTATATATTTTTTTTTTTCTGAAAATGTGATAGTAATATATAATTAAAGAGTTGCACATAATGATGCACAATTGTATTGTTAGTACGATATATATATGTTGAAAAAGTCTCTTCAAATTACAATCATTTGTTTTGTTTTTTCTTTTTACTTAGAGTAATTTTTCAAATTTATTAAGTTTGAGAACAGCTTAAAGGCAAGAATAGAGGTCATTTTGTAAGTGGCTATTAAAGTTATACAGAATTCTGGTCATTTGTTTTATTTTGAATTTAAGTGTTTGATGTAAGCCCTGTGTTTAAGGGTTGTTTTTGTAAATCCTAGTTTGTTTATATTAATTAGCGTTCGTTAATAAAACTTTTTACCGTTTATGATAAGATGTATTATTATAGTAATTTAAGACAGTTTTGTTATTTTCTTTTTACTTAATCGATGAATTTCTAGTTATTTGTTCATTTTAGCATTTGCTCCTTTTATAGTTGTTTTCAAATATTGTTCCTGGTAAAAAAAAAAGAGTGAAATAAACATTTTATTTCTGTTGAAGTTATTGTTGAACATAACAAGGTTTTATTATCATTATTTTTGGTTTATTTATTTTTTTTTTTTATCATACATCATTATTTTAGTGCCAATGTTGTATATTATTTTCTTTGGGAAGACAGTATAAAAAAAAAAGAAAATAAAAAAAAAGACTGCTTTTATTATTAGTTCATATAATAAGAAAAATAAAACGTATTATGAATACGTTTTTAAATGTTCCAATTGTAACTAAATATATTATTCAAGTATATAGTCTTGCTCTTTTTAAATCCTTTGATGACGAACAGAAATTAGCCAATTATTGATTACCCAGGGCCTAGGTAATGCAGCAAATATAACAGCATGGTATTATCGAACTTTTTCTAAAATATTCCATGTAATCACAAAACCTTTTTTTTTTTTTCAATGAATAAATTACATGATAATATAATCCAAATGTATTGAAAATATTTTTAAATAATGTCAGAAAAACAAAATATTAGTTTTAACTTGAACTTCTATACTAAGCAATTGTTGTTGTACTATAGATTTGGGGTGAAATAAAAAAAGATTTTTGTGAAAATGTTTAATATTGATTAAAAATTCAACTATTGTTGCACAATTCATTGGTATCTTCTAATTTTTTTTTCCTAAATCAAACGATAGTACATCGCAAGAATCCGATTTCACAAGAGTTATTAAAAAGTCACTTTCTTGACATAATCTAATGTTTTTATTAACGCAAATTCAATTTTCTTTTTTCTTTTGACATTTTGTTCTGTTAATTATTAAAATATTGTGGGAGTTATAGAAGAAGAGAATGAAGACTAATAAGTTAGATTATACTACTATAAAGTTACAAAGTTGAATTTAACTAAATCTGTCCAGATCCAAGGCCTGATGTATCTGTTAATTATATAACTGCTATGGTATAAATTTGGGGTTGGCCAAAAGAACCAAGAGAGTTGGTTTTCCAGAATCATCCTTCCCCTACGAGTACCAATGTATGATTTTCATTTTTTATTCCTTTGGTTTATTTGGCTTGCTGTCTGTCTGCATGAGTAAGGATTCATAGAATTATTCATTGTATTAGTTCTTAGAAATTATTTGGATAAATCTAAAATAGCCTTAAAATCAACAGCCAGCTTCTAGTAAAACAACCAAATAGCTTATAGATCCAGAAGTAATAATAAAATAAAGCCAGAATAGGATTTTCTAACAAATCTTTAGGGTCATTTGGTGATACATTAACTTGATATGTATGAATATGATAACATTTTGCAATTACTAAAATAGCAAAATGTTTTTTATGACGTGATAAAACCGTCGGTGAACTACCATAATACATCTTTGCAGAATTTATTTAGTTTGAGATGAGTAAGTTTATACTAAGCAAAAAAAAATTAATCTTTGTCCTACATCTCCTTCATTAAACTTTATTATCTCAGCTAATTTTTATTTGCACATATGTTAAAGGGTAGTCATTTCTGCTCAAGAAAGTGTTGGTGGTTATCCTGAGTTCAGTTCTCCCGAGCCATTGCTACCAATACAAGAATAAACGAAAATGCTTTTAAGAGTTCACACTTATGAACATGAGCATCACCCAGGCTGAAACAGATAATGAAAATCTGTCCATGTCTGAAATTAAAACTACAAGTAAGTGTTTAATTTATGTTTTCTAACAGGTCTCTTTTAGTATATTATTCACGTTTCACTCTTGCTACCATTAAATCGAATAAAGAAATAAATTTGTGGTAGATATTTTGGATAAAGCTTTTATTTATTAATGGTTTATAATAATGGAAATATTTCTTAAGAACTAAAATATCATATATAAAATATAAATATCATATATAAAATAAGTATTACAAATTCTAATTAGAATTAAATAAAAATAACTATAGGTAGCTGTATATAAAAATGATATCTAGATTTAGAGAAGTCAAAGTAATACAATGGTATAAATTCATTTAAAACTATTAATTTCCATATTTTCCCCGTCCATTGAATCTGTTAAATTTACATTGCTTTTCATTTCATTTTATGACTGTGAATAGCACCAAACAATACTAATGATTGGGGGGAGGGAGGGAGGGAGGAAATAGATCTTTTCAAAAAAATCTGAGTTTTATCGGAAATATTTATCATGAATCTTGTCGAAAAAATAAATTACGTCAGTAAATATTGTATATTGTTAGGTTTATATTAGTAGATACTCAACATTTCGTGTAAAAACCTTTTAGAAAAATTATGGAGAAGTGATATATAATGTTAAATTAACATTATAAAAGACATTAAATTATTAACAACTGGAAGTTATTATTGCCAAACAACTAAAATAAATTGACAACTTTCCAGAAAAAAAAAGAAAAAAGATTATAAAAGCCCTATACAGAGGAGTATCGTGTATCTGTAAACAGATAGGTTCGGCAAAGGTCGGACACTTTTGCCTGGTTCCCTATAGCTTCCAATCCTTATTTCTCCTTTGGTTTGTTAAATCAGTTCCCAATGTGAAATGGTTGATTAATTCTAAAAAAAATTAAAGGTACTTTATAGGAAGAAATTTTCTTCATTATTCATGACAGTCAACCATTAATCCACAATATTAAAAATATAACTGTTAATAAAAAAAATAAATTGAAACTCAATCTGGTGTTTAGAAGTTAAAAGGAATGATATGGGGAGATCTAATTCAGGAAATGAAAAAATTCATATTCTAAGAAATCAATAACTGAAACTAAACAAAATAATAATAACCTAATGTAGCATTATTGAAATGAAAAATAATTTTATTCTGAGACTAAAGTCCCCTTAAAATAACAGCAGAGTTCAAAAATACTAGTCTAGCATGTAGTTATAATACAAATATATACAAAGAATCCTAAGAAAAATACAATTGTATACAAAAAATAGGAAGAGGAAAATAATAGTAAAATGGCTCTTATCAATTAAGTGTTGGCAAGCGATTATAATTACATAACCTAAAGATTCTTAGAAGCTTGGGGAAGTTTGAATGTGTAATAGTTGGAGGAATAGGAGTTGTTAAAAGGAAATTTTGTACATGGTTTGACGCATGGAGATAGGTAAGGAGTTCCAAAAGGAGGATGCACGAAGGACAAAGAAAGTGGTTTTATGGGAGGGGGGATATCGAAATCTATAGTTGAGATCTGGTATTAAGAGAGTGGATAGAGTAAGGAGTTCTAGGATGTAGGGAGGATTTTTAGTTTTGAGGACTTGGAAAAGGAAAATACCTAGAAGGAATTGCCTTCAGAAAGTAGGATAGAGCCACTTCAACTCGGCCTGTAAGCGTGAAACCTGGGAATCCTAAAGATGAATCTTACGAAGCAATTCATGATTCTCTTTAGTATTTTTTTTATTATTTTGTCGTTTTTTAATTGAAAATCTACCTACTATTGTATTATGTAATTTCATAATTCTTCAATGCTCCATTTTAATTCATTATTTCTAATTATTATCAAAAATTTTTTATTTTAAATAATCAAAATATACAATTATATGCATTTATAATCAAATATTCAATACAAAATTAGACTGACTGCTTCTGGGTACACTGATTTGATTTGTATATATATTCAATGAAAGTCCAGGCCTTGGTGATGAATGAAAATTGCGTGAGGTGCACACTGCACAAGATTTTTTTTTTATTGGCATGAATTTCTAATTTTCTATGAAATTATGATGAAAATTATTTAAATATTTACACCCTAAGTTGATATTTTTTGTTACAGATGAAATGAAGAAAAGAAACCATAATGACCGAGAAAGGAGTTAGTATTCTGCAAAACTGGGCAGTGCCATTTGGCAAGATGAGGGCTTTACCTCGCTCCGGTTGTCTTTAAAACTCCAATTAGTGACCGGCTGGTCTTTTCTGACACCCTGCTTGAATAATCAAAGGCAATACAATTACAAAATTAGTGGAGCTGATCATAGAATAATTTTAGAATAAACATTATGTTTGCCTGCAAATATAATAATTAAAAGTTTGACAATTGGGAAATTTATTTTTCGAATATATTTAATTTTGCACCAGATCCTTTCTTTCATTGTACTCATTAAAAAAAAGAAATATTAACTATACACTATTTATATAGCTTTTATGGCTAAGGGTAGTAATTAAGTGTAAAGAGACAAGGTCTTCACACGCTGAAGTTACAATTTTATGGCTCTGCCTAATTTTGAGAGTATCCTGATGAAGATTTATTTGCAAAGTTGAAATCACCTTCTCTATGTTATTTAGACTTACTCAAAGCTATTCAGCCAATGTTCAAACATCAGAATAGCTCTGGTAGATCACCTAGAGTTCGAAAATAATATGAAGCATGTTAAAATGTTAAGTTACATGTTTATATCTCTACTTAATAGAGAAAGATATTTTGGTATCGTACTCATAGTCCTAAGTGCAAACTTGGAGGAGGAGAGGAATCGCCTACCCTCCTCCAATAATAAATGAAAGATGGTGAGAATGTCATTTCCCTCTCCTTTTCCATTAATATGAAGTACAAATTAAAAATAATAATAGCTATGATAGCTATGGGCTGTTCCGATAAAGGCGGCTAAGTAAGTGGGAGTCGATGCAGGACCGTCAGTGAGAGGGAATAAAAACAAAATGAGACAAGGGGGCTCTCTTGTGATGTATAGAAAAGGAAATTTAAAATTATGCAAATGAATAATTAGCATGTAAATCCAGCACACATTATATTTAGTTTTCCAACCTCTCGTGGGCTGAGATATTCAGAGTACTTTTTCCTGACGATTGTTTGGTTTCTTATAGTAGTTTGATCAATTTTGGCTCTACAGGCTTTTATTTTTCTACTTTCTTGTATGACCTATTCTGTTAACCGCTTCTCAAATTTTCATTTCTCCTGAATACATATTACTTCTTTGCCTATTTCTTTTAGCCCTGACTCTAATACCTCCCGTTATATAATAGAGTTTGGTCCAAATCACAATCAGCTCCACAATAGCTTCTTACGTTTTGTAATTTGGAATGAAGTCTCTTTATTCATAATTTTTTATTACCAGTCTGGTTTTTTGTACTTCTAGGGCTTACCCTAATGTACTTGTGGGTTTACTAAGCATTATATAAACTTAATTTAAGATTTTTTGCGATTTCAATTCTCCTGAATGAGAGAAGAAGCTCCATTTGTGCTTGTTATTCGCTCATCTATCCCTGAAATTGGTCATTTACTGTACTCAATTTTCCATCTTCAAAGACCCTTTTTTTAAGGTGGATTTTTATCATTCTATCTTATATTTTATTTTATCTTTATTTACTTCTCCAATTTGGCTCTACTTTTCTCTGATCTGAGTCTCAGCAAGTCTCAATGTCCTCTTGATTGCTTCCAAGGACAGCTATATCAATATCTGCATAACCTAGGATTTTATGATTTATACCGATGTAATGTTTCATGTAATGTTGTTCAACAATTCTCTAAGGCTAAGTTTAACAGCGTCAGAAGGATCCAATCTCCCTCTGCACTGTTTGGACTTCAGAGGCTTCTGATTGAACTACATCTTCACATGAAAACTATAAAAAACTTTTTAACTATAAAGAAACTCCAGAAAATTGTTATCATTTCGGTACTTGTCTCATGATCACATCAATTTTTATGCAGACATTTATATCTCTATAAGAAAACAATTACCTGGCAGTTCTGTAAACATGGTTTAACCTAGTTATTATCATTTATTAATGGTTCTTTACTTTGGCTGCAACTATTGCTTAGTTTATTGATGACTGGGATATCAGTTAGGTTTCTTATAGACTATGTTTCTCATCCATTGTCATTAATATTTTGAAATTAATAAGTTGTCAAATTTATTAATGTCCCCATCATCCGATAGCTTTATATCATATATAATGATTATTTACGCTTGTATTTATCTTTACATCAATCCAACTCTCATTTGAATATTTTTAAAAATAACCATTTTAGAGACTTTGTAAAAAAACAATCTCCTGCCGAAGTCGAGGGGAATATTGGAACCTGAGGACTGTTATAGCACCTAACCTGTTGATAAACTTATTTCTATTTAAAAATGGTATTACAAAAAAAAAACATTTTTATTCAAGACAAACAGTAACATATTCGGCACTTCAAAATCCTCCTTTAGATTCTACATCTCCCAAAATATACTTCTTGTACAAAAAGGTAAGTTTTTCAGCAAATACAAAAAGAAGCACTGTATTAGGTGCAATCCTGAAATAGTATGGTCCGAATCCTTTCCAGAGAGCTGTTGCACCTTCATTCTTTAACGTTTTTAGCCAAACATCGAACATACTAGAGTATTCTCCTTTACCACCCTCTTTCTTCATTGTTTGAACTCTGCAAAAATGATTCCTTAGAGTTAGTTATGTTCTGAGAGTAAGTATGAATTCACTTTAGTTACCTTGTTTTAGCCATATCTATAGGTGCTGTAGAAAAGGCATAAACAAAGCCTGATATTAAACTTGAAACGAAATGGCAGCCAATATTATCATTCATGTAACCTGCAATAGTTGGTAGAATTATGGAAACTATAACGATACTTTTACTTAGCCATTTATTTCAGTATTTTATTAAACATTTATGCATAGTTTCTTGAAGTATGAATTTACTTCTAGCCAATAACAAATTTTATATCAGTATACATTAGTTTATGACATGAGAGGATTGGGAAGACCTTTCTTCGGGTGGATGAATGGAGTAGAAGTGGATGCATGTACCATCTTTGAGGATCAATTACTGCAAGAGGCCTCAACGGTTGTAGAATCATGAATTTCTTGGGGTCACAACAATGACTCCCCTAAGGTCCAAGATTTAGCTGTTAGTATCATCATATAAATCAGTTTTTGTGTTTCTTAAATGGTTATTAACTTAAAACATGATTTACTAACATTGTATATTTTTTATAATAAACTACAGCGAAATGAACTAATGGTGCTCATGAAATGTAGTTCTGAGATGCTTGTTCTAAAAATTTTTGTTTTACTCATTGAGGAAATATGTTTTAAAGAACAGCAATTTTTCAAATGGGAATCAGTTAACTTCTTTCATTTATTTTTACTTCAATAATATCTAAAACCCAAAATTAACTAAGGGAGTAGGCAGACTTTTAGTTTAAAGACTGTTGGTGTAGAGTATAACACCTCCTGTATGTTTCCATGAGCATGCCGAGACAAGAAATACATATATTATGTTTTCAATGAAAATATGTTTCTTTAGACATTGGCGCTTCAGTATATGTTTGTATTGATATCATTTCATCAATCAAGTATAGGTCATTTCAAATTCTTCGGAACTAATTGCCAGCAGGTGAAGGATAGGTCAAAGGTCATGCAATAAAATACTTTTCTTTACACTAATATAATACTAAACTTATATTCTTTCCTCTCTATGTCCGGTTTTGACATTTAAATAATATTAGTAAAATAATTTTTAAGTTCTGATTTCACAATGATTGAAACTGATTCCATTACCATTCCTTAGTATGTAGTGTTTGGCCTGTACGTAGGTTGTTAGCTGGGTAACATTTCCTAACATAGCTCTCACGACAGTTGGAGTCACTCCAGTCCACAGCGTTGCTATGCCCTCTTCTCTGGTCATTCGAATTATAGCATCGATGACATGCTTATATTTTCGCTGTTCGTTATCGGGCAAGCGCCTGTCTGCTGTCATACGTACTAATGCAACCTGATGTCAGAGATCAAATTGAGTGTTAATAACATATCAAATTTCTTTATCAGTATAGCAATAAATATGAATGTTTATACCTACATCAGTCGGTGTAGCTATTACTGAAGCTATAAAACCGGCTATTAAACTGGAACCGATTTGAGCTTTGAACCCTTCAATTCCACGCCTGGTGGACAGTTGAACAGTTTTAAGTAATGCCATTGTAAAGTGGAAAACATAAAGAAGAAAATAGTTTTGATAAATTTACCAATAATTTATAGTTTTTAAATAAGACTACTTAAAGTTTATAAGTTAATTTAGCAAATCCTCTAACAAGAAGACTTCTTGTTAGTCACAAGATCATTAGGAAAAAGTCGTTAGTCTACTGGAGAACCCGTTGAGGATCATTGAAGAAAAGGATAGGAAAGAGTATCCTATGAACTTTAATAATGGAGATGATGATGGTTAGCTATTTTCTGAGGGTTTGTTTTTCTTTCTCTCTACTTCCGTTTCACGACATTTTTTCCGGGGCTGGGATCCATCTCAGATTTTAATGCTGCGGGAATCGAACTCCTAATCTTCAGATTACGACGTTGCCAAGCAATGCGTTAGCCCACTCGCTACCTCGCACCCGTGAAGTATTTTTCCATCTTTTAAGTAGTGGTAAGAATAGCCATAGATCCTACTGGACTACAGCATACCACAGATGCCGACGCTAACTAGAGTCTACCGACCGCAGTTCGTTGTACATGGGAAAACATTTATCATCTATGCCCTCAGTGTCATCAAAGAATTGCTAGCACACTGTCTGTATCGCCTCCAGGGTTCTGAAAACCTCATGGCCCCAAGATTCGGTAAAGAAACCCTCCTCCAATAAGGACGAAGAAGAACTCTATGTATTTTGAATCATTCAATTTAATCAATGGCATTCACATCCGTACATAAATTATTACAGTAAGGCTCGAAATCGGTTTTATACCAAATATAAGCTCCTGTCATGCTCAAATACCACGAATGGGGTACCGTTGGATTCAGAATTTCACGGGGGTTAGCGAATCGTATTCTTCACTTTTGTTTTTCTTTTTAAAATAAATAAATTCGATACAAACATTTTGCTAGGCTTCAATACCTGAACAGTGGTAGGTCTGTAGATCGATACGGGACAAATTGGATCTAGAAGATTTTGATGCATACGGCAAGACCCGGATAGTTCCTTCGGAACTATCGGATCCTGCGTTTTTAAGCCCCAAAACGTACTATTTTCGAGATAACGCAAGGCTTAGGGTTCGCATCCGCGCAACCTTACATTAATTGTTGTACTGTCATTGAATACATGTCTCATTTCGTCGACTTGAGGTCTCTATGATCGAGAGAGGAGGAGTTTATATTATTTATCGATGGTGTTTTTGATCGACAAGCCATATCATCATCAATTTTTCACCAAATCTCAAGATTGAGCCACCAATTTCGAAGGCTTCCTTCTCCTTCAGGCGGACAAAATGGTCCAAAATTCAGGCAAACAATTTATGAAAGAAAACAAACTTTATTTACGAATAACTATAAAAGATTATATAAAAGACCCGTGATTATATAAAAGATTACTTAATTTCCTACAAAAGGAAAAAAAAAATCATTGAAATCGGACAATTTTTAGCATAGATACAGCTTACTGAAATTTGTAAACAACAATGAAGATTTAAATTAATTTTTGTTTTCTCTGTCGATTATATTTATCGATAAAGTAACATCTGATTTCTTTCTCTTTTGATAGGTTGCATTATTTTATTTTCTTATTAATCTGGCATTTGATAACAATATGCTGTGCGAATTTTTCGCACGGGCCTACTAGTAATATAAAATACGACAAGAACATTTCTATCTGAAACTGTCCATCAACATGATCTCACTAATCTTTTATGAATTTTTAATCATAAACTGAAGTGTAACCAATGGACTTTTAATCCTTCTTTTTTCTGTTGGCATTACAGACCCATGTAGATCTTTTGTTGCCTTAACAAGCCTGCTCCATCTCTTCCTGTATTGGGCTATTTCTTTCCATTTATCTGCACGCTGCACTATTGCATCTTTGTTGATTCAAGGACTTTTAACCCTATGTTTTTTAAAATTATTTTTCGTAAAATAAACAAAACATCTTTGAAATTTTTTATTGAAAGTGGACAATATATTTTGGAATTTTGGTCAAGAACTTTGTTTACGGGTGGGAGAAGATTGTTATTACACACCGCTGCTCCCCAAGAAGGAAGAAGGACAGGTGAAAGAGATACCGCCGTACATGGGAGGAAAAAACTATAACGATACTTTTACTTAGCCATTTATTTCAATATTTTATTAAACATTTATGCATAGTTTCTTGAAGTATGAATATACTTCTAGCCAATAACAAATTTTATATCAGTATACATTAGTTTATGGCATGAGAGGATTGGGAAGACCTTTCCTCTGGTGGATGAATGTACCATGTACCGTCTGACCATACTGGGCATGAAGTTATCGTCGGTCCAAATACAAAGTGGCGTATATTTTGCTATTTCTGCGTTTGTGAATTTCTGATGAACATTTTAAAAGTAAAATTGGATAGTAACAGCATGAGTTGCAAACTGTATTTAACGTCATACGAGCAATTCAAATAAGAAATTAGGTACCTTTATTTTAAATACGATTTAAGCAGTTACATATACGCCTATTTGACATTACACCGACATATTAGCTGTGTTTATACAGCTCAACCTAAAATTGTAAAGGGACTGTTTTAGTTTTAGCACACGTTTATAGGTACTTTAACACTTGCATTGTGTCTATAAAGAAAGGAATAGTGAGAATAAAAATAAATAAATACAGTTCCAATGAAAGAAACGGTGACAAATGACATATAATTTAATACTAAATTCTTGTATAATCCAGATTATGGAATTAAACAGAAATTATGTGATTATTATCAGCCTTACTCTGCAAACTTTTCAATGGACATTTGATATACACCTAGACGAGTCATGGTATAACAAATCTGCCTTGCTATGTTAGCTGAAAAACCATCATAAAGCGCCAGGGGACCTTCTTTTCTGCAAATGTTGAAGAAGGCATGAAAAGCAGTTTTGTGATCTCTCGATTTCCCGCCTTCACCGCTCAACTGCATACGATTTTTTATGACATCTATTGGCTGGCAGAAAACCACTGCTCCACACCTGTCATTTTAAATTAACTGTTAAACAAAATAGCTGTAAATAAAAAAATAGTTTAACAAATTAAAAGGTTACATCACAGGCTACATTAGCTAGAAATATCTGTAATTTATATTGGCTTACTACATAAATTCTCGTTCACTTAGATTATATCTTGAATTATAAACATTTCATGTCATAATAATAAACCTTTCTGACAACTCAGATCCAGTTCAGACAAACTGGAACTTAGGCGGGTACAATTAGTGCACTTTTATTTGTATTTGGCAAAATAAAACTGATTTTACCTTATAAAGTAAGTCAGTGTTAACAGTTCACATACTTGCCAATAGTTGACTGCAGATAATGTGGTTGGAAAGTTAGTTAGGGGTTGCAATCTCAGTGAAAAATAAATTTTCTCTTTTATTTGCGTTTTACAATGTGACTGCTGACAAAACTTTAAAAAAAAAATCAAGTACTATGTTAATGATACAGATTCATAACATGGCGGTTGATAAAGAAAGTTGAGAAAACTTTGCTGCAATGTTTAAATTGCTTCCGATGTTTAAATACATTTATTCTACTGTAAGAAGTAAAGGTCTATATCGCTACTGTCAATGCCAGCCTTTGTCATTCGGCTTACTCCACTAAAAAAAAAAATTATTTCTTAAGCTATTTTAAATGATGTAATATTTCAATTTTATTTCATTAAATATTTCTCTAATACGGGTGCTTTATTGATTGGCTGAAATTAATTATTTTAATACGTTTTGTATTAATTTCTAACAATTGGCAATCGCCGTCACTTGATACTGTTAAAAAGGTCATATGCAACAATTTTACATGTTTATTCTACTTGTCCTAAAAGTGGCATTTTGTAGTCTGCAACTGCTAAATAGGAAAATAGCAGAGGGAAGAAATATGAAATTGTAAAGAAATAATCTGCGTTTATGCTCTTTTGAAAAAAAAAATAATGAATTTTTAGATACCACGTTTTGCACTAGCAGTAGTGATATTTTGTTTCTGAAAATTAATGATATATTTTAGAAGACTTATATAGTCTAGACGGGTACTAGCGGATTCAGGCTTTAATTTTCGGGGGGGGGGCTTCAGCCCGAAAGATTTTTTTTTCATATACATATAATGATAATTAATTTGAAAAAAAAGGAAAGAAATTAACTACCTATATGAAATAGTGTTTAAATGGTTCTTGAAGTTTTATTAAATATAATTGCACGAACAAGAATACTTTAAGAGATAGTATTTAATATTTTTTTCTGTAAAACATGGTTATACTTTAGCATTTGGGGGAGGAAGGGGCTTCAGTCCGAAAGCCCCCTCCCCCCGTAGATCCGCCTGCGTAGACAGGGTTCTCACGGGAGTGATAAGATACATTCCTAAAGCCAAGCGGTACACGCCACTTGCAAGACTCGCATCGCCGCGGTCCATAGGTATGGAAGACATAATGAGTTCACATCGTTACAATCGGGACCGTTTCTGGTGGCGAAAAAGCTACTTTAAATTGAATGTCCTGCTTCTCTTGTTGAAATGATAGGTGTTGGAACAAGAACTAAAGACATTGCGGACTAAACTGATACATTTCATCAATTCAGAGGAATGCACCAACAGTTCTTTTGAAACTATGGATGAATTATATCATTCATTTATTAAACTGTATGGTACCCACTTCTTTTTTTTTCTCAAATACCATTAGTTCACAACACTTTCATCCTTACGGATGACGAACACATGATTAATGAAACGAAACTTTCCTTGGTATATCTTATCGCTTGCTCGTGTTTTATCGCCCAGATGTGAACATTTGCTCAATTTAATGTCTTAAGATAAACTCGTTAAACTTTTTTTTTTTTTATTATTATTTATTTATATGATATTTACAACTGTATATAAAAAATACATCTGGTAAATTCGCACATGGATATAATGACATGGAACACATGTTGAGAAACTACCCATAGGTAGCACTCTGATAATATGTCTGTATTAGAAGATCACGTGGCCATCTTCTTTTCAGACGCCTCGGAGGGTTATCAGGAATAGAATAGGAAGCAAGGTTAGAGACAAGAGGGTTTGGATGGTTATGAAGTTTATTATGGAAGGACAGATATCTGGATTAGGCCAAATCTGATACATAAGGAACATTAAGGTCATTATGGATAATTTTATTTGTAACAAAGTAAGGAGCATTGAGGATTTTACGAAGGATTTTGAATTGTAAAGATTGGATGCGAGAGGAATTTGAAGGTTTGGTGGAGCCCCATAGCTCAACTCCGTATGTCCAAATAGGCCTAATTATAGTCATGTAAATGAGTCTTTTATACTTGATTGGAAGGTTAGAGCGTTTGTCTAGTAAGTGTTGAAGTAGTCGGAAACGTCGAGCTGTTCCTTGTCGTTTCAGTCTGGTATGAGGATTCCAAGTTAGACGTTTGTCCAGATGGAGTCCTAGGTAACGGATTTGTTCAACAGGAATAAGTGAGGTGTTGTTAAAGGATACTAAAGGACAGGAAGTCATTGGTTTACGACGAAGGGTGAAGGTAATTTGATGGGATTTATTGGAATTTATTTTAATTCTCCAGTTCTGACACCATTCCTCAAGGTTTGTGATGTGGGATTGAAGGGTTTGGGATGCAATAGATGGGTCGTTATTAACTGATAGGATACATGTATCATCAGCATATGTGGTGATGACAGTGTTGGGATGTCAGCTGTATAAACTGTGTAAAGGATAGGACCTAGGATACTACCTTGAGGAACACCTGCAGACTTCGTTAAACTTAATATAAATGTCTTATCATCTTTATAACAACAAGAGAAAGTGAAGACAAAAAGACAGAGCTTATGGCACTGCTTCAAGACGTCAATAGAAATAGACTTGGACATCTTCATATGAGGAGGCCTAGTGACCTTGAGTTGACACGGAAAAAAAGATGGGGCTGTTTCTATTCTTTTCTTTGTTTATTGACGCCGTGCATGTGGTTTGTTAATTTTAACAAAAACTGCCTATATTGCAGTTTTTGTGCGCAAACAAATTGTTTTAAAGTACAGATTATTTTTTTTTTATGTTTCTAAAAAGTTCAGATTTTCGATATACGGAAGTCCGATTGTATTTAATTTTTTTTTTTTTTTTTTTTTGTGTTTAAGGTAATACTCAATGTATTTTTTAATTTAATCTCACAAACGAATAGCTAAATTACAAGGAAGTTTGTTTTTACATATGAGTGGCTTCATATCAAAGACGAACATTGCCAGAAATTGGACAAACCCCAATTTTTGTTTTATAGGTTAGTTTTTATTTAAGATTGTTCAAGTTGAACCGAGGAAAAAAATATTAGAATTATTTTAAGTTCAAGCAACGTTACAGAAAATTGGCTTTTTCTCAAATTTTATAAAAATGACATGTCCGTTTTTGATAGGAGGTTACTCATACAGCATTACATGAGACTCTTCTGTTTTAATATATTTCTCTTATTCCACCAATCAATGTTCCAAAGAGGTCTGAACCACAACTCAGTACAGACACTTAATAATTTAATTTTTCCTTTATGAATATAAATATATATTTTTTTTACAGATTATCTGTGTAAAATACTATTTCAAAGTTCCTAAAACAAGTCCCACGTTGAGATTTGCTAATAGAATTTTTGTGAAAAAAAAAGAAACTTTCAGGCTGAAGCCCTCCCCAACATTAAATCCTGGATCCGCTAGTGTAGTCAAGTCACCAAGGGTGTGGCCAATTCCCCAGCTTTCTAGCTTCACTTTTTCTCTGTGGTGGGGTAGGGCATGCCAACCCCTCTTGACAATGTACAAAAAGTAGATCCTGATTTCGAAATGAAAATGAAAATAGTGCTTACCCTGCTAAACCACTTATGACAAATTTGGCATAGTTCGGTATTTTTATATGTTTCTGATCGTCTTCCTTTTTGCTTGTTGACATGATTACAGAATTTTGTTGTTGTTTTCATGAGATGTTTTTTGGAAGAAAGTTGGAATGTGTAAGAAATTAACTTTTACAAAAATTTAGTCGTAAATCATAGTAAATGTTTGAATATCAAATATTCGACATCATTAAAAAACATATGTTATTAATTTTATTTTATGAATTAGTTAGAACATAATAATCTTTCAATATTCTTTTCTAGTTTAGTTCAATTTAAAAAAAAATTACAGTTTAAAACAAGAGAGATAATTCATGATAAAATCTTATTTTGTTTTTTATTTAGGCTATACGCAATTCGATTAAGGAATGGTAGCGGTTGTTTGGAAGAAGTTAGGTTTGGAGCAGTGTGGGTTCCATTTACACCAAAGGCATTGTATTAAAGCCGCTATTTTGGTTCTCTAAGCGTTTCTAAACAGTTATTATTCAGCCTTAGAAGTGTTTTATTAACCAATGTTGTATCCTTTTTCCAATGTTCATCTATATAGCATATCGTAAATTAGAAAGTCCGTTTCAAGTTTTAATATTCTTAGCAATGCTGGTATTTTTTAGTCCTGCACGTTAGGACCTTCTTTAATTCAAGATATTAAGTACGAAACATTCGAAAAGAAGTTCGGTTGGCTTATAAAAAAAGTGATATGCCACCTTTCTGAGGCAAGATGTCACTTTTATAAAGCAGTTTGTGAAACTGGAATATTGAAAAATTATCACAATCGTGAAACAGTTCTGTTTGAGTCACCGTTCTGTTATAACCATTACAAAGTGAACTTAACCAACCTGCTCTTAATTTCTAATTTTTTCTAAAGCCAGGTTCACAATAAACATGAATTAAAAGCGATTTGATAAATTCATGTCAATGATGGCAAGTGTTCTGCAAATCCAATCAAGCTCAGCGCCTCAGATTTCTCCTTTCGAAATTTATGATTCCAAGAACTAAATATTTTCCTTATATTTGGAGCGTTTTAGAAATAATTATGACCTAAAAAACACCAAATGATGATAAAAAAAAAAAAAAAAGGCTGAGCTACATCTTTCATAAAAGAACATTACAAAACCTTAGGTACGTTTTTAGAACCAGATAAACCTATCAAAGATATCGATTTAGACATGCTTAGAGGACCTTTTCGAAAAAATACTTACTACTTGAGTCACAACCATGGTCTCTCAGAACGAGTTTAACTTGGGAAAAAAATAGAATTGATCTGAATTCTCTAAATCCGAATACGAAAGTCATCGACCTATAATTCTTAGTGAGTCCGTTCTAATCAAGTGAAAAAGACAGTCCAACTAAGGATCTATCAAACTAATGAGGATGGATGGTATTTTGGTGTAGTCACCCGGAAACTGTACATTACATCACTAGCGGATACAGGATTTAATTTTGGAGGGGGGGCTTCAGCCCGAAACCTTTTTATTTCATAAAAATAACGATAATTACTTTGGAAAAACAGAAAGAAACTAACTACCTATATGAAATGGTGTTTAAGTTATTCCTTAAGTACTTTTAAATGTAATTACACGAACAATAATACTTTAAGTGTTTTTTTTTCCCCCATAAAACATGGTTATATTTTTCCATTTTGGGGGGGGGGGGCTTTAGCCTGAAAGCCCCCCCCCTCCCCGTAGACCCTCCCGTGCATTACATCGTTGAATTGCATTCAGGGCGTAGTTTGAAGCTGAATACAACAATGTACTATGGTCTCCAGCACTAGCGGCTCCAGGAATTAATTTGGGGGGGGAGCTTCAGCCCGAAAGATTTTTTTTCCATATACATATAATGGTAACTAATTTGAAAAAAAATAAATTAACTACCTATATGAAATGGTGTTTAAGTTGTTCTTGAAGTCCTATTAAGTGTAATTAGATGAACAAGAATACTTTAAGAGATAGTTTTTAATATTGTTTTCTGTAAAACATGGTTATTTTATATCATTTTGGGAGGAAGGAGCTTCAGCCCGAATGCCCCCCCCCCACCGTAGATCCGTCTGTGGTCTCCTGTACCGCTAAAAATTGTGAACTTTGCAGCATGGCACAGGCCGATCTACGGGAGCTTTCGAACTGAAGCCTTCCCTTCAAAAAAATGGTAAAATATTTCCGTGTCTTAAGAAAAAAATATTTAAAATTACTCTAAAAGTATTATTGGTCGTTTAATTACATTTAATAGGATTTCAAGAATCACTTAAACCCAATTTGGTATAGGTAGTTAGTTTATTTTCTTTTTTTCCTACGTAGTTATCGTTATGTTCAATAAAAAATTCTTTCCTGCTGAAGCTCCCCCAAAATGAAATCCTGGATCCACTAGTGTAGTATAGTATAATGCGCCTCGAAGAATTAGAGTCCCAATCCTTGTCATTTGCTTCAGATGCTCAAGTTATTGTGTAACAAGTCCACCTACGACTATTGACCAACACCTGCATGACACCAGAACCCAGTTCCTCTAACCAGCATTTACTATGGTTCGCAGATCGTCCAATCAACGCAACGAGCTTCTCCGCCCTACCTTCTGATTGACACTTTCGTTGACCTTAATTTAAAAGGGGAAGAGTGTAGTGAAGATTTTACAATGGTTGCCTATCCGCTTTTGAAACAGTTATTACTCAGCCTTAGAAGTGTTTTGTTAAACTAGATTGTACTCTTATTTCTATTTTATGTCGTCAAATAAAAGGTCTGTTTCAATTATTACTATTCTTAGAAATTATTAACAGTGCCGGCTTTAGACATCTGGTGCCCACGGGCGATGATATCCATCTTCCATAAAATTTAAATATATATTTCTCAAGCTGTTTTATACTACGTAAAATTTGAATATATTATTGCTCCATAATTTTCTTGCTCAAAAAAATTAATCAGACGTTCACGTCATCACAGATATTGTTTTATTTATTTTTTACCATTAGGCAGTTCATTAACTTATTACTGATATTTTCATCCACACGTTCCATAGAGACTTATTTTATTTATTCATGTTTTTAATACTCAACAATAGGTTTACAATTAAGACTCCTTAGAGGTTGGTCTTGCTTTGGACACTTGATGTGAGAATATAAATATATATAGTTGATTGCAAAATGTAAAGATTGTTCATATTCGAAAATAGAAAATAAATTAGTGGTTATTCCAATCAAAAGGACAATTGCAAAGCATATTTTATTACATACTAAAAATAATCATGGTTTCTTTTTCGGTGAAAATTTTTGGAAAAATGGAAAATGAATTTATTCACGTCCAGTAGTTATGGTAAGAACATGTTTATCTATTGTAGTATTTTCAAAAGGTTTAATTCCTCTTTGTAGAAATGGGTCGTTACCGATTTTTAGTGTACCTGTTCCAGTCCGTTCCATTCCCCAAACGGACCTGTTCCAAATTATCGATACCGTTCCAATACCGTTACTCCAGAATTTACACCTAGGCATGGGAGATAGTCGATAGTAATGCACTATCGATGGAACATTATCGATAGTATCGATATTTCAGTGACTTCCCGCCATAGACTAAAGGAAGATTTATTTTCGCTCTATTCTTTGTTCATTTACTTTAAAATGCTACATATGCTTCAATTTAATTAATATAAAATATAACGTTTAAAATTAACGTTTATGTGAAATGTAACATTAATATGAAATAAAACATTTAAAATTATAAATTTTATATTTCGATTTTTACAAGATTGAAAATCCAATTATATTGTTACAGTCATATTGCACATAATGTAAAGAAAATGAATTAAAATTAAAGAAAAGAAACCTAAAAGTAAGGTTAGTAAAGAAAACTAATTACACAGATAAATGTTGGTGTCTAAAAATGCGATTTTTTTTTCTCATAAAATTGTAGAAATAATAATAATAAGTACTAATATATATTTAATAATATGAACAAATTTTTAAAGAATTTGTTTCTATATGTTTTGGCTTCTTCGTTGCAACATCATTTATATCTTTCGAAACAAAATAATTAATAAGAAATCAATATAAGTCAATTAATGATTACTTCTAATAATTGCAGAATTTTATATATATAGTTTAAAAAATTATATTTTCTTCTAGAATCGAATGAACATAAAGGCTTACAGAATGATAGTTGAGCTCAACACCACCCTACATCCTCAGCATTTTTACCACCCAAAGCTGGGTTACTTCTGCGATAAAAAAACAGTTAACCACTTCTGCATTTCTTCTAAGTCGTGGCTGAAACTGTCTGAATCACAGAAGCGTAATGGCATTGACTCAACATTAAAGCTTGTTAATTCCCTTGAAACTAGATGGAATTCAACCCTCAATATGTTGTCAAGATTCCTGTAGTTGGAGGTACCAATTAAAATCACCATAGCATTAATAGATACAGAATTGCCCTCTCTAAATTTATTAGAGTAGCAACTTACAAGAAAATTAATTTCGTTATTAAAACCTTACAAACATTTAACCGAAAATTTAAGTTTCCAAAAATATCCTCCAGCTTCCAGCTTAATTGTGATGATTCCAGGACTTTTAGACCTACTGGATAAGTATAAAATACAAGAGGAATTCGCAGACTTAAAAGTTACTATTAACATTTTAATAAAAGAAACTAAAAAAAAAGAAAGATTTGGGAACTTAGAGAGAAGTGGAATACTGGCTGTATACACTTTTTTGGATCCGAGGTATAAGATGATGGGATTTAAAAATAAAGATGCAGCCCGTATTGCAAAAATAATGTGAAAGGACTTCTTATTAAAAAAATTGTTGATTCCTCAAGGACCACAAATGAGCCGGAACAGAACAAATTTAGTGAAGAACAACAAATGCTTGTGTCCCTTGATGAGGATTCTGTCTTCAATTCATTTTTATCAGAGACCAAATCTCAAAGTACATCTATTGGTAAGTAATTTTTATGATTTTTCATAGATGAAATGAAAATTGACATAGTTTTTTATTTTGTTTAGCATAGCCTTAAGATCTTTTTTTTTTTAATTAAAATAAACATACCTTCATCATCATTTGTACACAAAAAAAAGTGCAAACATACATTTATTAAAATATTTAATTAAATTTATATAATAAAGACAACATAACTATTATTTTTTATTTATCCTTTTATTAAGTTATTTATTTAAATTAGGATATTAAAATTGTTTTATTAATTATTTAGTCATCAATTTTAAAATCTTGAAAATAAAATTTATGTCCTAATGAGCATGGTGTACTGCACATGCTGTCTTATTGTTATATTTAGGATTATCATTATTCTTACTATCATTGGAATGTTAGTATATTTAATTTCTATGCACTTTTGCCATAATATATGTATATATTTAGGATAATCCTAAATATAACAATAAGACAGCATGTGCAGTACACCATGCTCATTAGGACATAAATTTTATTATATATATATATATATATATAGGGAGTTTAAACAGCTAATTTAATACAACATAAATTTAATAGACACCTTCAATAGGGAAATATGAAATTTAAAAAAAATAGTTATAATGTATTAGATTACTTGTTATTGTTGTGTATTACATTTTTGAAAATGACTCATTTGAAAAGTCAAATCTTTATACAATGTGAACCTTGTATTTAATAAACTAAAATATGTCAAAAAATTAGTTATTTCTTGAAATTAACAATGGTCTAATTTTTATGTATACTTTTTTTTCATTTAATAATGTTCATCTATTTTTTACAGAATCCCCAGAAAGCAAAGCTTTAATAGAGCTGAACCGTTATATCAATGAAGGACTCATTCCATTGCATGAAGAACTTATAAGATGGTGGTATGAAAATCGTCGGGACTTTCCCTTTCTTGCAAAAGTAGCAGAGGAATGCCTTTGCATAACAGCAACATCTGATCCATGTGAACAGCTTTTTTCAAAAGCAGGAATGTTTTTATCAGAAAGGCGAAGCCAATTGTCACCCTAAAAGATGTTGCTGTTTTTAAACTCAAATGAAAATTTGTTTATTAGATAAATTGCTGTATGAGTTGATTAAATTTGTTATATGTATCAAATTGTAATTGCTTAAATAAAACTTAAATTTTATTTTTTATAGATTTGTTATAGAGAGCGGGGTAGCTCAGTGGTAGGGTACTTAGTTTCTAACGCTAAAGGTCCCAGGTTCAAATCCCGGCTTGTGGCCGTGGTGCGAACCTGGGTAGGTAGACCCTCCTGGGGACCCAGCCTCTATAAAGTGGGTACCCTTGATTAAGGGAAAAAAAACAGGTGGTTGAGCGTGATCTCGGTCAAATCACCTCTTTGCACAATCATAGACCAAGAAACAGTGCTTTCCCTGAATAGTACTAAACATAAGAATCTTCATGGGTAGTAGTGGTACATGTTTTTTACAGATTTGTTATAGTATTTGTCTTTGTATATATTTATATATATATTTTTGTATTTGTATCTGTGATTTGACTTTTCTCTTATGATATTGCTATTGAATTACTATGTAGAAAATTTGTATATGGCACTAGATATATGTGTTAAAAGAAAAAAATATTTACGTATATATATATATGTGTATGTGTGTGTGTAGATAAAAAGCTATAATATTGCCCTAGATGTATGCAAATATAAATAAATAAAAGTTTGTATAAATTTTTTTCTCTCTCCTTCTAATTCATTTATTTTTTAAAAATGAATATGTGATTAACCAAACAAATATAGCATTATTTTGTTTGAAAAACTGTTTGTATTTGTATATTGGTTCCAAAACATATCCTGATCAGTATTGATAACAGCTAAGGAACAGGCTTAAAATTAGTCCTGGACAAATTTGTTTAAAATAATATTTGAGCAATCGATAAATAGACCAAAAAAATATTTTTGAAATGTTTTATTTTATCATTTTACTAAATTTTTTCAACATTTATAAATCTTATTTCTGAAATTACTATTTCGTCAAATAATTTTATGCTGAATTAATAACTTTGAAACGAAGTTCATCTAAATAAATTTTAGTCTTTCAAGAGTTTTCATTGAGCTAAAATTGAGTTAGTTATATTGAGCCAGTTCAGAGCCATATCGGAGGCAAAGTATTTTTCAAATTACAATATTTTTTTCATATTTAAAAATAATATATATTTTTACAAATCCTTTAAAAAAAATATGTTTCGAAATAAAATTAGTAGAAACGTAGATGCTAATTATGGTAATGTACTATTGTATTTTAAAATTAAAATTAAAAAGTTTCATGCACTTCTGTTTTTAGGATAATTAAGATTACCAAATTTTTGTATTTATGGTTTTAAACATTTTAGAAATAGAATTGTTTAATATTTTCGTGAATTAGTTTATTTTTAAAATAAAAAATAGTGAAAGAGATAATTAAAATAAGATAATTATTTAAATAGCAGGAGTTGCCATTTCTTCAATAATTTTCCTTATCGAACCCGCTGGAACGCTTCTGCTAACTGTTCTTCCGTTCCTTATCGATCCAGCTGGAACAGAATTGGAACTAATTGCCAACCGTTCCTCCCCATTCCTTATCGATCCAGCTGGAACGGAATTGTAACTGGTCTGGAACGATTCGCCAACTGTTCCTCCCCACTCCTTATCGATCCAGCTGGAACGGAATTGGAACTGGTCTGGAACGATTCGCCAACTGTTCCTCCCCACTCCTTATCGATCCAGCTGGAACGGAATTGGAACTGGTCTGGAACGATTCGCTAACTGTTCCTCCGTTCCTTATCGAACCGGCCCCCACTCCTTATCGAACCGGTATCCCCACTCCTTACCAAAGCCTCGGTATCGATAATTTTCAGTCGTTGGAACAGTTCCGTTCCACAGTGAGATTAGGTTCCCATTCCCGATCCAGTTCCATTGACCCATCCCTACTCCTCTTTGTATTGTTAATCTGAAAGGAGGTAATTCTATGTTATACACGTGTTTACTTTTCAAATTTTAGTATAACAGTTGTTGGTTGCTGAATGTTGTTTTATTCATTTACAAAGTGGAAAATTGGCTTCACTTGTGAGAATTGATTCTCAAAAATGTTGGGAAAACCGTCTTTGAAAAATTTGACTTCTAACTTTGGAAATCCACCTCCAAAACAAAATGAGGTTCTAATACACTTTTTACTGGTTTATATCTTTTATTTGTTTATGTATTTGAAATTTAATTTTCAACTCTTCTTGTAGTTTTTACAGACTCTTGGTACTCCTCACATAGATTCCTTCAATTATATGTTAGAGAAAGGTCTCAGAATGATGTCAGAAACATTAGAGCCCGTTGAGTTCGTCTACCAAGGAGCCAATGTCCTGTTTAAAATATCTGTAATTATGATAAATTTTTTTTGGTGCTTAAGTAACTGTTTTGACATAGTTAATGTGATCCACAATGTGTTCTAGAGAGTATCCCTTCTTCCTTCTACCGTTCCAGCAAACGTCATTGGTGTGAAAAATAATTTAGTGTGGCCAACAGAGTGTCGCCAAAGAGCAGTATCCTACTGTGGTCGATTACTTATCCAATTTCATTGGGAAGTTGGAGGAATAGAACAAACTCCAATTGAAAAAGACTTAGGAGCTCTCCCTATTATGATCAAAGTAAGCTATTTGGATATTTATTATAATTTTAATATATATATTTTTTTATATATTTATACTGATCAGGTAAATAATTTCTGTTCCAGTCAAATGCATGCCACTTAGCAAATCTTTCTCCAGAACAACTCATTGAGCATGGGGAACATGCTGAAGAATGGGGAGGCTATTTCATTGTCAAAGGTAACGAGAAACTTGTTAGAATGTTACAACTGACCAGAAGAAACTATCCCATTGCTGTGAAACGACCAACATGGAAGCAAAGAGGAGTTTTGTTTTCAGATCTAGGAGTTTTAATGCGATGTGTTCAAAAAGATCACACTTCAACTGTTAGTGTTACATTTATTTTATTTTATATAATTAACAAATTAAGTTATACACTATTAAAATATTTGGATCTGTAACTTATGAATATTATTTTTTATTTTCAGAATAATGTGTTACATTTTGTCACTGATGGAACTGTAAAATTAATGTTCAGTGCTCAGAAAGTACTTTATTATGCTCCATTAATGCTCATTGTGAAATGTTTGGTCAATTTTTCTGATGAGGGAATTTTCAAAACATTCATGGATGGATATGAAGATGACCAATATATGAAAGGGTTTGTTATTTATTTTACTTTCACAAATGCTATTTCAGACCTCTGTGTTATCTTTTTTTTTTTTAGTTCTATAAGCTTCCTCATTTATTGCTGTTATAACTTTTCTGACCATAACTCTCTGATCTGTGGTAATTAGTGATGTTCCTTTATTAATTGTTAGAATACATACTTCTAATTTATAACATGTTCAAAGTTAGTGCATTAGTTAAAGATAATTTTGAACGTCTGTCAAGTAACCTGGATAAAAGACCATATCGTCTGTTTAATTCTATTCGTTTTTGTCTAGTGTGAGTCCTCCAAATAAGTCTTTTGTCTAGATAAATACCTAAATATCTTATCACATCTGATGCTTGATTTGAATATTATTAAAATATTTTTGGGGGGAAGGTGTAGGATTAAGAGTGAATTCTACATACACACTTTTTTTTTTTATTCATTTTAGTTTTTCACCTTTTGGCCCAATCAGCAAAACATAATAAAATATATAGCAAAGATTAGATAGTATACGACTGTTGTTATATTATTACTGAAACACCGTTTCAATTTTGGTATGTACCAGAATTAGGTATCCTCAGATCTCGACCATATAATCCCTAGAACCCATGAAAATACTGCTAAGTAGTTAGATATATTTCTCAGATTTTAAGATTATGATCATATTTTAGTTTTGTATTTAATTTAAATTTTGATATTTATAACAAAAACTTAAAAATTTCCTCTAATATTAATTTATATATTATTTTTTTTTAAGGTGCATTCAGAATATGTTAAGATTGTTACATACTGAAGGTATCCATTCATCAGCGGATGCACGTAAACTTGTTGGAAGAACCTTTAAAGTGAAGTTTTACGACATGCCTCCACATTTTACGGATGAAGATTATTGTGATTATATAATCAAGTAATTTTCTTATGTTTTTTTTTTTTCTATTTTGGTATGCTGATATGTTGTGAATGTGAGATGTAGATGTGGAAACTATTATATAATGTTAATCAAAATCAAAAATAATCAGATCTGATAATCATTACATTCAATAATAATAAATAATAGTATTAGGACCAGAGATGGGAAGATTAAAATACAGAATTGGCACACCAGGAATACCACTAGGCTACAACCCCATCACATTAGGGTCCATTCCTCTAATCTTCACCATACTTCTCAGATACACTATTTCAACTATTAGTTAAATAAAAACTTTTTTTTTTTATTATTTAAAAATTATAATCTTAAATTCATGTAGATTCTTTATTGAATGAATTTTTTAGGGTTATTGACAGCTTATAAGGGTCTAAAATGGTATGGTAAATTTTAACTTTTAATTATCTATATATACAATACATAGTAAGGGAAAGTATTGTGATCTTGAAAGTTTTTGAATCTGAGTTTTCAACAGAAATACATGTTTTTATATGTATTTATATTATCCCCAGATATATTATTACAGTAAGGCTCAAAATCGGTTTTATACCAAATATAAGCTCTTTTCAAGCTCAAATTCCTTGAATGGTGTACCGTTGGATTCAGAATTTCTTGGGGGGAGGGAAGAGGGTTAGAGAATCGTATTCTCCGCTTTTGTTTTTCTTTTTAAAATTAATAAAGTAGATACAAACATTTTTCTCCAATACTGCAACGGTGGTAAGTCTGTAAATCGATACGGGATAAATTGGGCTTTGAAGATTTTGATGTGTATAGTGAAACTCGGATAGTTCCTTCGGAACTATCGGGCCCTGCGTTTTTAAGTCCAAAAACATACTATTTTGGAGATAATGCAAGGCATAGGGTTCGCATCCACACAACCTTATGTTAATCGTATTACTGTCATTAAATACATGTCTCACTTCGTCGACTTGAGGCCTCTATGATAGAGAGAGGAGGAGTTTATATTATTTATCGATGATGTTTTTTTTATCGGCAAGCCCTATCATCGTTAATTCTTCACCAAATCTCAAGATTGACCCTCCAATTTTGAAGGCTTTCTTCTCCTTCAGGCAGGAAAAATAGTCCAATCCAATGGTTGGTTTTCATTAAGTATGAATTATATTTAGTTTCAACATTTAATTACAATTTCATGAAAACATATTGTTAAGGTAATTGTTAAATTTTTATTTTAAATAAGGTATGATTATAAACACTTGTTCAGTATCGATTGGCAAAATTTTCTATTTATGTGTGTTATAAGATACATAGGTGTATTAAATTTTAAAAATGTTATCTCATTTATGATTTTTTAAAATTAATTAATAAACATTTTTTTTTTTAATTATTCAATAGTAAAAATAAAAACATATTCCATAGTTAGAATAAAAGTTGAATTTTAAAGTTTATCTGTTCTAAAGTATAGTAAATAGCAACTTTTTTTTTAAACAATTGTATGGTGATGTATTGAGTAATAACTAATTTGTTTTGTTTTTTAATTTGTAGGAACTGCGTTTGCATTCATTTAGATTCATACATAGATAAGTATAACTGTCTGACTATGATGGCACAGAAGTTATTTTGTATGGTTGCTGGTAAAGCATCTATTGAAGGTGTTGACGGTGTTATGATGCAAGAATTATTGTTAGGGGGACATTTATATATGCTGGTAAATTGCTTACTTTACTTCTTGTTTTTTTGTTTTTTTTATCACATTTTATGAGTTTGCATTTTAGTAACTTCTTATATTTTGTTTCAATTAAAAACTTTTACAGTAAGTAGTCATAATTTGTTATCACAATTGTGGATTCGGAAATGAAATAATTTTCCTGTACTGATATAGTTTTTGATTTTCTCAACAAACTTCTATCAATAGAGGCACTAATATATCTATAGGTATATCTCTTATTTTTATTCTTATAATGTTCTTATTTTTGAAGATGATTTCGATTAATAAAAAACAAGAACTTTAACAATTTGTTGATTGTATTATTAATTATTTACAATTTTTAATTATTTTAAATTTAAATTCTTACTGGATCCCTAGCAGTTTACACAAATACAATACAGCTGTTCACTTCACACAATATAAGTAAAACAAGTCCGCAGTACTCCCAAGACACTTGTTAATAAAATTATTTAATGTTGTTACATTTACACTAACAACTGTTCATATACTTACCTTCATTGCAATAAAACTCACTGACTCAAACTCGAATTAACTTATATCTGTGAAATCTTTTTCTTATTTAGTCACAGACCCTGCCGAGATTGTTCCAGTTCAAATTGATATTATCGATTTATCTAAATTCATTGCAATCTAGATTTTAGTACACCTGTAATTTTTGTTACTCATAGTGTACAAAACCATTAATTATTGAATTCAATGTTATAAAAAAAAAATTAAATTGATAGTGTAAATGCTCTCATTATTATCTTTGCCCTTGATTAAGACAGAATGTAATGTTATTCAATAAAAACACTTAAAAAAGAAATTTAAAAATTAGTGTACTTTGTAGTAGAAGCCATTATTGACCTTAAAGGTTTAGGAATATATGGTCTCTTTTTATTTTAAATTGGTTTGTTTATATTTTTAGTATAATTAAAAAATATTTTTGTTTTGATTTTTTTATTCTATTTTAGATATAACGAGTATTATTAATTTCAGGTTTTAAAAGAAAAATTGCAGAGTTGGTTGAGTTTTGTAAAATTTAACATCCTTCGAAGGGATTCAAAGCGTTCTCAACTTAATCATGGTATATTGTTACTTAATTTATTAAATGTGCACTTACTTTGTCATCTATATAATATAATAAACATTCTATTTATTTAGATGATATGATTTATGTATTGAAGAAAACTGGTTGTATTGATGGTTCATTTGAGAACTTTTTGGCAACTGGCAACATATCGAGTAAATCAGGATTGGGATTGATGCAAGATAAAGGTAAATTATTTATAAATATTTTTGTTTGTATTCTTTGTTTTCAAAATTTACTTCCTGATTACTCAGTGAATTATCAATAGCTTCTTTATGCATAAATCTGAATTAGAAATGCTACTTAAGAAAAGAAACATTTTTGTTTACAAGAAACTAATTTCTCATCAGGCGGTGTAGCAATATTTATTAAAAAAGAAATTTGTTCCCATCAAATCCCAATAAACTCTAAATTTGAAAATGTCGCAGAAATGTTTACATTATATTCACCAAAAGAAATCTGTGCCTGCAGTGTTTATTTACCTCATCAGTATGAATTTTGTTGTGAAGAAATTTATAATCTGTTTGCTCAACTTCCAACTCCTTTCATTCCTTGTATTAGGTGATTGGAATAGCCATAGTCCAACATTCTGTTCCGACGATCTTGATAAAGAGAGAAAATATTATAAAAGATTTTAAAACAGCCAAGCATTGATCTTTTAAACTCTAATAAACCCACAGATTTTTGTTCAGCTAATGGTACCAACCTATTTCAAGTGGGATATTCTTGATGAACCATTCAGCAGCGACTATTTTCCTCTAAAACCTCAATTTATTAATAAAACCAACGAACCACTGAAAATTAGCAGATGGAATTTAAAATGCCCTGACTGAGCGAAATATGGTCAATCAACTGACTCTATGTTAGCAAAAATACTTCCAATTTCTAAAATAGCAAACATAGATGAACTAGTTAATAAGTTTACTGAAATTATCACAACCATTGCCCTTATGGCAATTGGAAAAAAAAAGCACACTTCCAAAAAGTTTGTTATTCCCTGGTGGGATAGTGATAGCAAGGAAGCTGTAATGTCCACAAAAAGGTCAAATATTTTAAGCTCAAATTGTTTCAACACACTCAGGAGACCTTACCGAATGATTTGAGTGACCAAACTTAAAGATCGATCCAGCAGTTTGTTCCAGCGTTACAAAGCTTTTTGCAAATTAATTAAACACATTTTATTTAACAACGGTTTCTCTATTTTTGAATCAAATTGTTTCAAAATACTCAGAGGATCTCACTGAACAATTTGAGCCATCAAACTTAAAAATCGATCCAGAAGTTCTCTCAAAAAAGCGTTACATAACTTTTAGCGACCCGAACACATAACCCTCGTTTCGCTTCACTTAGTCGAGTAAATAAAATTAGTGTGATGTTGATCGTTGCTAATAGAGATTTCTGCTAATATCTTTCACATAAGTTTATTAATGTTTTATGAACATTCAGTTTTGTTGAATTCTGTATCTTTAGCCTCTTTAGCCATTAGAACAACAGCTTAAACTTTTTTGAAGTTGCTGCTTTCTAATTCTGAATCGCAACTTTGGTATGCCTCTCCTTCTTTTGCCAAGATTTTTCTTGTAGCATCTTTTCTGAGACTGGATCTTCAGGTATTTTGAGTTGTATTCTGGTACACAGGTATTCTGGATCCCATCTGAAGAAGCTCACTTTAATAAATAATACTACATAAGCAATACCAAGTCATCAGAACTCAGCGGCCTTCCTATATTTTTCACAACCTACAATTCAAATATTCCATTCAATCCCGTCTCACTAGATCTCGTACCTCCGACCTCTATCCACCTCCCCATCGAACTGCAGCGTTTGACAAATCCTTTATAATTCAAGCCGTCTCCTTCTGGAATACCATCCCTCCCTATATCCGACATGTACAATCAGTTTCCTCATTTAAATCTCTCCTTTTTAACCACCTACTCCTTTCCCAACCCGATTGATCATGAAATGTAGATAAGAGAACTTTTAAAGTTCCCCCAGAAATTATTTTCTTTACTTATGCTATTTTATTTTATTATATAGTTTGTATTATACATATCAGAATGTTTTTAGTGTAATAGTTATATTTTTTGTTTTATTATTTTTTCAAAATCTTAATCTTAATAATAAATGTAAATAATTAATTTTATGTATGGCCACACAGGCATTTATTCTGTATCTGTAATTTGTCCTAAAGGGACAACAGTCCCAGGATAATAAAAAAATATTTTCATTTCATTCGCGTAAAACTTCATTAATTCAGCATTAGTCTGCTGTTGGCAGATTCCATTTTATGGATTCATTTTGATTCTATTTTTGAGATTTACCAAGCCACAGATAAAACAATGTAAACCTGTTTGTCCGCTATTAATTATTCTCTGCTTGGTTCTTGTACATGTTTATAGAAGTTATAAATTTGTTTCAGGCTTAGTGATAATTGCTGAAAATATTAATAGAATGAGATATATGTCACATTTCCGTGCAGTCCATCGAGGAGCTTTTTTTAAAGATATGAGAACTACCGAAGCGAGACAGTTACTTCCTGATGCATGGGGTTTTATATGTCCGGTTCATACTCCTGATGGATCACCTTGTGGTCTTTTGAATCATTTGACTAAGGAATGTCAGGTCTGTTTTTGATTATTCAATTTAAATTTGTATTCAAAGATCATAGAGCTTTAATTCGTGTAATATGTTTGATAGAATAAATTTAATTTTTATTTATTTGATTTAAATTTTTGTCTTTCAGGTAACTAAGGAGCCTGATGAAAAACTAGTTTCTAAATTACCGAGTTTGTTAGTTTCTCTCGGAATGCAGCCTTGGAATGCTTCTGGTAAGATCCCAAACAAGCTCTGTTATGTTACAATGCTCGATGGTCGTGTTGTTGGACATGTGCCATACATGATTGCAGGAAGAGTGGTTGATAAATTGCGACTGCTTAAAATCAAGGGAGAAAAGGTAATAGATATTATTTAATAATTTATTCATTAGTTTCATTATGGATCTTAAACTGTATACAACTTAAAACTGCTTATAGTTTCACAAATGAAGTGTCCAGGGATAAATCACTTAATAACACAAAACTTCTTTTTTTTGAGAAAAATGAGTTTGTAAATTGTCTAAGAAGTTGTTTCCCACATATTTCAAATGATTTATTTTTATTTTTATCGTCTTTAAAGAGGCTCTATGCCAAGAATGAAAGCGAATGGTGTTAGTCCTCTTTGTGTCATTGATTTTACACATTTTTACAATTTTCTCGAAAGCGGCTCTTAACAATGTTGATTAAACTCATTAGGTCAATGTATTTTTAAGTGGGTTTTAATTTAAGGTAGGTTTTATCCTCATCAATGCAGTCTGACAGGGCTTATATGGCGAATTTTTAAAATTTCTTTCTCTAAACCTTTGATTTTAACAGATGGCTGAAGTGTAAGGTGCTCGACTCTCACGCCAGAGACCTGAGTTCGAATCCCCTTATTTATAGAATATTTTTTTTGTGTGGGCGGGGTGGTCGAATGGGCTAATGCGTGTGCACTGCACAGCCTGATGTATAAGACAAAAAATAGTTCGCGTCCGGTGCTGGGAGAGTCTTTTAAATCCCCACCCTAACCTCCTGGCCCGGAAAAAACACCGTTTAGCCTTAAAGGTGAGAAAGGGAAGGACAAAAAAAATGAAACCTTTGATTTTATTTATTTCAAATAATCAATGATTTCATATTTTAACTAATAATAAAAAATGGTAAAATATAAACTATGAAAGAATTTTATTATTAATTAAAGGAGAAATAATGGCTTAGGTGGGACCAACAACAGCTGGAAATACCCGAGTGCAGTTGGGCTTGGTGGGTAGAATGGCCCCTAAACATTCCACTATTGGAATGGTTCCTTGTCTCTTCTCCTGTAGGAACGACATCTCACAATCCAATAGACAAGCAGTGCCAATGTAATATTTAATAGAGAATATTAGCAAGAAGAACAGGATTTCATCCTGGTTATGCCCAGCTAGACCATAATCTATCTAATCATTATGGTACAAATGATGCAAGTCCAGATTTTGTTAAGATAATTTTCTTAGCAAGAGGGAAACTTTTAGATGTAATATGAATACCCCTGAAGACAGCAACCATTTCCTTGCTGTTTGTCCGATTCTAAGAGATATAAAAATTTCAACACTTTAAAAAACCACTATCTCAGGAAAGGAAATGATAGAGCTCCTTCATTATAAAAATTGGTCCTCATTTTATAAATATATAGTACAAGCCTTAAAGTATAAGAAATACTTAGTCGAACAATTTAATTTTAATTGAATCCTGGATCTCGATAAATATGGAATTTACCACTTTATATATTACTTATTTTTTATTTATTTCTTGGCCGTAATTTTAAATAGTGGAAAGCTATATTGAACACGTAATACGTAATAATTGACGTAATACGTGGGGAAAAAATAGAAATAACTAAAATATAATAATACAAAACATGTTAAATTATTTATATATATATATATATATATATATATATATATATATATATATATATATATATATATATATATATATATATATATATATATATATGTATATATATAGGTGATAGGTTTTCTCAATTTTGTTTGTGTAATTATAATTATTATGTAATGTATTTGTACCTTGGAAAAAAATAAAAGACAATAATAATAATAATAATAATTAAACATGAAAAGAGACGACCCGACGGACGGACAATAGTCCATGTCTTCTACGTTAAAAAAAAAAAAAAAAAAAATAGAGATGAACAAATAAAATTTGTATTTAATTTTTAAATATTTGTAAGATCGTTATTATGTTCTTTTGATTAACAATAAACATTCTTTCTACCTATCTAGAGAAGATTAACTGCTTATGTAAATATATTTTATTTTATCAGGAATTTTTGTATGTTTATATCTTTTATTGTCTGTTTATTGCAAAATGTCTCAAAGTGACATTTCACAGCCTTATATCGCTAAGAATTTTGATGATTTTTTCTTTTTATAAAATCAGAAAATTGTGTGCTTGTTGTAACTAAGTTAGGTCTATAAAAGGGTTTCTACCATTACTGGTATTACTGTTTTTGTTTTTTAAATAAATAAATAAGGTCGAAATTTACAAAAACATTTTTAAAGTTTAGTACCGGAAATGTGCTTAGTGACTTTTTGCAATAAACCGATGCTATCGTCTTGACTCAACTATTAAAGTGTATAAAATAGATTTATTTTCTTCTTTAAAGGTCCCCAACACTCTAGAAATAGTTCTTGTACCGAAAAAAGATATCGCTCACCAGCATCCAGGCCTGTTCCTTTTTACTGGGCCTGCGAGAATGATGAGGCCTGTTATGAATCTTTCCGTCAATCAGATTGAATTGATTGGAACTTTTGAACAAGTCTACCTGGACATCTGCATTACCCCTGAAGAAGCCTACAAAGGTGTAAGTAAATTAGTAAGGAGCCATAAGTGAATGCTTCATATAAAATATTAAAATATTCTCATGAAATACTTCTAATTTAAAATTGTTGCTGGATAATTTCTCTTTCAAGTCATCCAATCCTACCATCGTTCATACATCTTCATGCTCGTTCAATTCAAATCCTCTATTCGCTCCCGGTCTTCTGATTTATACATAAGGGCCCACCGAACGCTGCTTTCGACAGATCATTTATTATCCGATCCTCATCCCTATGGAACTCTATCCCTTCCCACATCCGTCAATCCCATACCCTTCCTACCTTTAAATCCCGCCTGTTCAATCATTTCTTATCTGTCCAGTCCCCATAAAATTGTAAATATGTATATAAATTATTAGATCGTACTTCATGTTTTTTTTTTCAATTTTTTATTCTTTATTATTAACTGATTAAAGTTAGAAAGTTATATATATATATATATATATATATATATATATTTTTATTATGACTAATTAATTACTCTATTTTTTTTTTATCTATCTCTGAGGCTCCTAAGCCCACATTTCCATCTTTCTGTGTTATTCTAAAGAGACTCGTCCCAGATTAAATAAAGTATTATTATTATAACAACAATTTAAATATGAATTATAAAGTATAGATAATTAGAAAGTATGGATGTGCAGAACCTTATTAAAAACCACAAACAATATTGCTAGGGATGGAAATGATTAAGAAGTTAACACCTAAAAGGCACTTTTCTAATTCAAAATTAAATCAAATGCATGATTTTGAATTTCAATTTAGAAGGACTGTAGATACCTTAAAGTTGCTTTTAAGTAAAGTGTAAAATTGTAGTTCTACTACGGTGGTTCTCTAACTGTTTTTGTTTGCTGGAATAACTTTATATCGGTCTAAAAATATTTCATTGTACCCTTGTCGGACTAACAACAGTTTGTGAGAGAGTTATCCTTATAGCTGTGTTGTGTTATTGAAATTTTACCTATCTGCAATGAAACATGTATGAACCAAATAAAATTTTATCCTGATATGATTAAATTAAAAGTAGAGGTTGTGTTAAAGGTACATACTTGAAGGAAGTTAGTCGACTGTTCTACATATCATGGGTGATAAATATTCAGGACGCAGTCTTTTTAAAAAAAAATTTTTTAAATTTTTGCCATCGTTTCAATCCAAACATGTGGATCATCTTCAGGGCTGAAAATGTTTTTTAAAATTACAATCAGAGATATAATAGTATACGACCGCTAATTATAAATAATAAACTATAGTGATTGATGGTACATGAATCTTAACTAATATTGCAATACACATATTAAAATTAAATATGTAAATAGTTATACGAACTAAAACTAAAAAAAAATAATGTATATAATCCATTTATACAAATTTGTAATATTTTCTCTTACTAACCGTGGTTTGAGCACTGAGGTTGTTCAAGTACTGACACATGTTTGGTAGGCAAGTAAAAAGGTCAGAGGGGGAGGATTTCAGATAGTTGTCCTTTTTCAGATAGCAAAAGGTAGATAAACATAGTTAGAGGGGAAGGGAGGTAACATTTATGTTTGTAGAATATACATAATTTGCTGACTAAATATTTGAGTTATTTCATATGGTTACAGAAATGTGACTATTGGCTAGTAATGAAATAAACATAAGCAAAAGGTGCCAATCAATATAAATATAGCTTAGTTTGATAGAAACATTGGCAAAAATAAAAAAAAAATTTAAAAAAGACTGCGTCCTGAATATTTATCACCCATTAAAGTTACATAGTTTGTTGAAAGCATAAACTTTAACATTCTCGAGTTCAATGACGCCAAGCTCAATCTGCCTTGAGTGGTTTGAAATTTATTTTGTGGCGGACCCACGGAATGAATCTCAACCTTCCCATTCTGGCTAGAACAGGTTTGGTTGTACCTCTAAAACCACCAACATCTGCAATTAATTTTTTTTTAGAATCGTTTTATACTTTTTTTATTAATCTGTTTGTTTAAAATTATTTTTTTTAGATTACTACTCATCAGGAACTATCTAAAACAAGTTTTCTCAGTAACTTAGCATCCCTAATACCAATGCCTGATTGTAATCAAAGTCCGAGGAATATGTATCAGTGCCAGGTACCTTCATTTTTACATTTAAATTTGATTAGTAAAGTTACATAAAATTAAATTGTAGCTGATGTTCTCTGATATTTTTTTTTGTATTTGATCAATTTTATATTTAATTTGAACTAAATTTACAACTGCATTTATAAAGACTGTTTTGAAAATTGTTTAAAAAAACAAAAAATTTAGTGGTTTTGACGAATGAGATGTTAAAAGAAAGGAATTTCATGTAGAAATGATGTATTCAAGTTTTGATCTTTAAATTCATACTACAACGTAAATGCATATTCTTGAAAAATGTAAGTGATATCAAAACCTCGTACATTAGTAGGTCAGTAGGTCGAGACAGATCTTTATATTTTTAAAATTTCAAGGTAAACATCAAGATTCAATTTAAACATTCCAATGGAACATAGCTTATGTTTTAAGCCCTAAGATTTATTGTTTTCGGGTTATAGCCTCCTAGGTTCTATGGGATACCACTTGTCGGTGTTTAGATTTAAAAAAATTAAAATACTGCTATTGTATGTAAAATAAAAATCTATTAAAATGGTAAACTAATGAAAACATTCCTGAGATCTCTTAGGCATCTCAGATAATATAGAGACTTTTTATTATAAATAAACATGGTGTACAGATGGTTGACCGTGATTATAATATGAGAAGGAGTTGGTTGGGAGGCACGGTAAAATAAATACTACATTATTAAAATAGTATTTTATTCGTTACGCCGACGTTTTGCCCTACCACTTTGTAGGTCTTCATCAGGGCATGATATCAGCTACTGTAGGAAGCAGTTGGTAGACTGGTGTTGATTGAAGTGGGATGAAACGGTGTAACAAGTAAAATACTATTTTAATAATTTAATATTTATTTAACAGCACCTACACAACCTGCTCCTCATATAAATAATCATGTTTTGTTGGTATATTTTAATATTCTTAGATGTTAACATTGCCTTAGCTGTGATTGAATTCTTATCTGGTCTGGCTTCTATATTTCATTCTTCATAAATTAAAGAACTTCTTCACTAACCCAACAAGTTGGTAGGTATACTAATATATAATATAACTTTATGGACAACTTAAATGTTAGGCTGAAGGGATATTTTCCAGTAAAGAAAGTTAATTACTCATTAAGTTAACAGTTATTTCAACACAGTCATTATAAAGCGTGTAACTTCTCTAATGTAGTCTGTGTATGTTGAATAGATTTTTTTTTTATAATATATTATTTATAGGAATAAACTTTATCCCTTATATTGTTTATACTTTGAATTTATTAGGTAGAAGAAGAGTAGATATCTTATGCATGGGTTTCTTCACAATTATACTAGTATAATTAATTTAAATTAAAAAGTAATAAATAAAATTTATGAGAAGGAGTTAGTCGGGGGTGCGGTCAAATAAATACTAAATTAAAATATAGTAATTATTTTAATTTTTGCCGACGTTTCGACCTACTTTGCAGGTCGTCTTCAGAGCTACAAAAGATACAAAACATGTTGAAAATAAAAAATAAATATAAGTAGATATAAAATAAGAAGAAGTTGTCAGATACAGAAATAAAAGATGGTATCAGAGATATAGTGGGTGACAATGTAGCTAAATATTAAGTATTATATATGTAGAGGATACAATAAGTACATAAATGGAAAATAAGTATGAATAAAAATAAAAATAAAGGAGAATATAGCATGTAAGTTAAAAGTATACAGCTTGCGATAAAAGATAAGGAATAAGTGTATAACAAACTAATAGAGATTACATTAGATAACTGTGGGTTAACAGATAAAGAAAATTAATGTTAACGAATAAATAGATTGAAAATTGAATAATTATTGTCACAGTAACATTAATAAGTATTGTTACTGTAACAATACTTATTCAATTTTCAATCTATTTATTCGTTAACATTCATTTTCTTTATCTGTTAACCCACAGTTATCTAATGTAATCTCTATTAGTTTGTTATACACTTATTCCTTATCTTTTATCGCAAGCTGTTTACTTTTAACTTACATGCTATATTCTCCTTTATTTTTATTTTTATTCATACTTATTTTCCATTTATTTGTATCCTCTACATATATAATACTTAATATTTAACTACATTGTCACCCACTATATCTCTGATACCATCTTTTATTTTTATATCTGACAACTTCTTCTTATTTTATGTCTACTTATATTTATTTTTTATTTTCAACATGTTTTGTATCTTTTGTAGCCCTGAAGACGACCTGCAAAGTAGGTCAAAATGTCGGCAAACATTAAAATAATTACCCCCGACTAACTCCTTCTCATATTATATCAACGGTCAACCATCTCTACATCATAAATAAAATTTAGTTGATAAATACTTATTTTAGGTGGATCAGAGGGTTATGAAATAGTTTTCATAATATAAAAGAGATTGATGTTGAATAGAGAAATAAGATTTGTTGTATTTAATGTGCTATTGTTCGAATGTGTATTGTGTAATTTAGAATTTTCCCTCATAAAATCATTATGAGAATTTTTTATGATATCTTAGATTTGGGATTGTGTATAGCTTTTGCACAACCTTGAAACTCTCCTTTGTAAATTTTAATTTGTTTCAGTAATGTAGTTTTTTTAATGAAATTCAGGGTGGATTAATCGTTAATTACTCATTCCAAGAAGCCTTTAGTGTTATTTAAGTCTCATAACGGTGTTCCATTTATGTTTTATAGTCAAGATATTTAGTGTTCTTTGGATGCACTGCAATGAGCATTCTATTGAATATCAGAGGTTGGTAATAATTTCTATGTAGCACAAACGTGATCTTAATAGATTTTCCTGGATTTGTTATAATTTCCGATTTTTTAAAAATCAATTTTAACTTATTTTTTAATGCTTAAGGAAAGTATTATTATTATATAACAATATTATTATATTATATTATTTTTGTAATTTTTTTTTATCTGTGTGTTTTAGATGGGAAAGCAAACAATGGGTACACCATGTCACAATTGGCGTTATCAATCCGATTCTAAATTGTATTGGCTCCACACTCCAGCTTCACCTTTCTTCAGGCCAGCTCATTACGACCTTATTAACCTTGACGAGTATGCTATGGGTGTTAATGCCGTAATCGCTGTCATTTCATATACTGTAATATATATTTATTTACATTAAACCATGTGTAATAAAACCTTGTTGATCTGAGTTAAAAAAAACAATGTGTGGATATGATTCCCCACATATATAATTACAGTAAGGCTCGAAATCGGTTTTGTACCAAATATAAGTACCAATATCTGAACCGTTGGATTCAGAATTTCACGGGGGGTTAGCGAATCGTATTCTACACTTTTGTTTTTCTTTTTAAAATAAATAAAGTCGATACAAACATTTTGCTAGGCTTCAATACTGGAACGGTGATAGGTCTGTAGATCGATTAGGGACAAATTAGACCTTGAAGATTTTGATGCGTACAGCAAGACCCGGATAGTTCCTTCGGAACTATCGGATCCTGCGTTTTTAATCCCAAAAACGTACTATTTTCAAGATAACGCAAGGCATAGGGTTCGCATCCACACAACCTTACGTTAATTGTAGTACTGTCATTGAATACATGTCTCATTTCGTCGACTTAAGGCCTCTATGATCGAGAGAGGAAGAGTTTATATTATTTATTGATAATTTTTTTTATCGGCATACCATATCATCGTTAATTCTTCATCAAATCTCAGGATTGAGCCACCAATTTCAAAGGCTTCCTTCTTCTTCAGTTGGCAAAATAGTCCAAAATACAGGCAAACAATTTATGAAAGAAAACAAACTTTATTTACGAATAACTAAAAAATTACACACTTTTCCCTTGGTTATGCCCATGATTATATAAAAGATTACTGTAAATTCCCTACAAAAGGAAAAAAAATCATCGAAATCGGGCAATTTTTAGCAAAGATACGGATTATTGAAATTTGTAAACATGTTGGTTCCTAACATTAATGAAGATTTAAATTAATTTTTATTTCCTTTGTCGATTATGTTTATCAATAAAGTAATAATTGATTTCTTTATCTTTTGATACGTTGCATTATTTTATATGCTTATTAATTTGGTATTTGATAACAATATGCTGTGCAAATTTTTCGCATGGGCCTACTAGTAAATGAGTTTACTGATTAACAAATATTTGAGCCGTTTGGTACAAAATTTGTGTAATTACTGAGGGAATTGACTTCATGCTTTTAAATAGTTGGATATGATACACTTGATACACTTAATTTTAAAAGAAAAAGTAAGGTGTTATTTCTTACTAAAAAATACTTCTATTTACTGTATCTTATGTTTTTAGAACTTGTCCTAAACTGTTGAATTTTTCAAAGTTAACTACTTTAAACTTAACAACTTTTGTGCATTCAACAGCTCATAAAATATATAAAGATTTCAATTTAAAAATTCTCAGAAAAATCAAGGTTTAATTGTATTTTATAGAAATTTATATTTCATAATTATTATTTAATTTTAAAATATTTTTATAGGGGTATGACATGGAAGATGCCATGATAATAAACAAAGCATCGCTGGAAAGAGGTTTCGCCCATGGATCGATTGTAAAATCAGAATTTATCGAACTGAAATCTGTAAGAAAATCTAATATAAGATAATATTATTTATTATATTTTTTAAATATGATTTGTAGTTTAAAAAAATCATCATTACTTCTAGGCCAGCTCATATTTCGGATTGGATCCTAATAAACCACACTTGGCAGAATTTTTAGGAGAGGATGGGTTACCGTTTCCAGGTGCAAAAATCACTAATGGCCAACCTTATTATTGGTATGATAAAAAAAAATACCTATTTTATTGTTACATAATTTTTCATATATTTTTAGAATAATTTCCTTGCTTAATCTTGTACGTTTTGGTTTATTATTTTCAATAATCAACACGTGCGATCGACCAAAAAATTAAAAAACTTAACCCCCTCTCAAAATTTGAGGTTTCATGTTTCAGGATGCGTAGAATTCGAAAAACGAATAAAAATTTTTTTGTCCGTCCACCGTACGTGCATTTTCTCTGAAACTAATGGACTGATTTTTTTATAAGTTGGATATAAAATCAGAGGTCACCCGAGGATGATCCTCCTTCATCGACATTACTATCCGCCTTTTACTTTCAAAATGGCGCCCGAAAAACCTGCATTGCTATAGACTGTAGCGCCTAAACGAATGTACCGATTTCAATGAAACTTCGCTAAAGTCATTTTCTCTACGCCCTTTAAATTTATCTATATAACATACTTCAACGAAAAGAAGCTGGAAAAAAAGTTACGAGGGATGGTAAAATTAAATTCCGAATAACTCAAAAAGTTTACACTTTTTTGTCGATAGTGTATATGGTTTTTTAAAAGTTTACGAAATTTTCTAAAAACAAAAAAAAAAAAATCAGACAATTAGGAGCAAAGATATGGTCTCCTGTTTTTTTTTAATATGTTCTACTCCAAATGTTATATCCTTTGTTTGGTTTTTAAATTTTGAATGTGTTACTGAATTAATGCTATTTTTTTTAGCATATTACTAATGATTAAAAAAAAAAAAGTTTAGTCCAATGATTGGAATCATCTTTTATTAATTTAATTATTTGTAAATAGGAAGGTAATGTCACTTCAGATGTATAATTGTTTGGAAATAATAAACCATTGTGAAATAATTTGCAGGGTTTTTTTTTTTCTGAAGCCAAATAATGTTTTTGTTTTTTTTTTAAATTATTTCAGTTATTTTGATCAGACCATTTCAAAATTTACTGTTGGCCTATACCCCGGTAAAGAAGATGTAATAATTGATAACGTTAAACTTTGTGGAATGTTTCCTGGTGGAAGAGATGGAGTCACAGCAAAAGCATGCATCACGCTCAGGATTCCGGTATTATTTTGCTTACGTCTTAACTCATTATAAATTTATTATTATAATTTATTCTGTCTTTATTGAAATTATTAATTTACAGAGAAATCCCTCAGTTGGCGATAAATTTGCCAGTCGTGCTGGTCAAAAGGGTATTTGCTCCCAAGGTTGGCCTCAAGAGGATCTTCCTTTTACAGAAAGTGGAATCGTACCGGACATCGTTTTTAACCCTCATGGATTTCCTTCTAGAATGACTATTGGTAAAGTGCAGTATTATATTGTTTAAGTTAACTTAATCACCATTAATAAATTAGTAGTCCAGTTACAAACACAGAATAGTCCATTTTTTGTAAGAAATGGAGCTGCAAAGAAAAACAATCATAAGCTTGTTAAAATATATTGTAACATCCCTCTAATATTTTAAAATAATAATATAACTTCAGAAGATCACTTTATACCCTTAGGATACTTTCAAAAGGAATAAGGGGTTGTTAAATAAAAAACAAAATTATAAGAGTATTAATATAGTTATTTATCTCAGGTGTGGGTTACTGACAATCAGATCAACTCAGACAAACTATTATTATTTACACTATTTATATTAAAATTAAACACTGGTTTAAAAATAAAGTCAAGTATGAATTGACAAGCTAACCTTTTTTCTACATACAATGTTTCTTCCTTTGTGGCACTGAACTCATTTGTCTTCACACATTTTCTTATGTTCTGCCAAACACATATCCCAAAATGGTAACACTATTCTTCCACTCAACTCAAGCTCTCTGGGAAATCCTCTCTCTCTTGCAATTCCAAACAACTATTCTCCCTGCCAAACAAGATCTTCTAAGATGGTAAAACTATTACTGGGTTTTACCCACTGGAGCCAGGATAGGATATCTTCTCTTAACCTCTCTTCACTGCAGTCACACAACAACTGCTTGCCAAAACAAAAACCTTTGTCCCTCTCCTCTTTGGGATTTTCCTTCTTGGGAAACTACAGAGAAGCCATTTTCTTTTCCCTGCACTAGTAGGACTAGATTAGCTTGCCTTTTAACTGTTCAACATTAATTTATTAAATCATTTTTACTCACTTCTAATAAAGGTGTATATTACAATATATATATATATATTGACAAGGCTTTAGCTATAATATATAAATAATAATTATTCCAAATTATTACATTTTGATCGATCATTAACTAACAGCCTTGTTGATTCAAATACATTGAAATATGTTATTTTTTCAAAAAAAAAAACATTCAATTCCACAAGCACTTAGTTTCAAACAAGGTCCATTGGAGACAATCATATTACAGAATACGGATCATGTGACCCTTAATAGTTTTGATAAATTTTTCTGCTGTTATTGATTGTTCAATGTTCTATTTGAGTTCTGTTGATAGATAATTAATGGAAGTTTATCATTATTGATTCTTCAAACAGCATATCTGGCAGCAATTAGAGTGACATAATAGCCAAATACACTTTATTCATGCTTGAAGAGTACCAGGATTTCTTGGCTCATGGTATAATGGTAAAACTCGGAATGACTATGGTTGGAAGAAATCCAAGGCAGAACACATTGTTAACAATATCAAGAAATAGCATTTCTAAATATCTACAATAAGAAGAATTATTTTTACTTCAAAATATGTTCAATAATAAATCAAAATGTTCAAAGTGAGATGGTGCACTAGACAGTAGAGGCTCTTAATTGAAAAAACCTAGTAAGATAAAGTGAAAAGGTGCACCAAACAAGCCTAAGAAATTGGTACCTGGATTTTGTGGATGAAGACATTTAATAAAAACTAAAAAAATACAACACTATAGAATAAATTGGAATGATTTGAACTATCCATCAATGATATAAGAACATGATAGATAAAAACATGACAAACAAATTTGTTGAACCCTAAGAAAAAGTAGAAGAGGAGCTGCCATTTTCATTACAAAAATATTACTTAAAAAATCTTCCACAAGATCAACAAGTTTTTAATATTTCACTATCTTTTTTAAAACCCATCTTCAAAGAATCACTTGTAATTTCATATCTGCAGTTTTTGTAACAACATGCTGCGTCCGCCAATCGATCATAAATCCAGCCACTAATTCTGGTTTTTTTTTTGTTTTTTTTTATTTCTTTATGACATTTACAACTGTATTACATAAATACATCAAGTAAATTTGGACATAATTGATATAATGACATGAATACACTTGCTGAGTAACTACCCAATGGTAGCACTCTAATGATATGACTACATTAGGAGATCATGGGGCCATCTTCTTTTCAGATGCCTCGGAGGGTTATCAGGAATTGAAGAGGAAGCAAGGTTAGAAACGAGAGGGTTGGGATGATTCTGAAGTTTATTATGGAAGGATAGGTATCTGGATTGGGCCAGATCTGAAACATAAGGAACATTAAGATCTTTATGGATAATTTTATTAGTGACAAAGTAAGGAGCATTGAGGATTTTACGAAGGATTTTGGATTGTAAGGATTGGATGCGAGAGGAATTCGATGGTTTAGTGGAGCCCCATAGTCAAGTATATGAGTCTTTTGTAATTAATGGGAAGTTTAGAGCATTTGTCTAGTAAGTGCTGAAGTAATCGGAAACGTCGAGCGGTTTCTTGTCGTTTCAGTCTAGTATGAGGATTCCAAGTTAGTCGTTTGTCCAGGTGGAGTCCTAGGTATCGGATTTGCTCAACAGGGATAAGTGGAGTATTGTTAAAGGAAACTGTAGGACAGGAAGTCGTTGGTTTACGTCGAAGCTGTTTCTTTTAGTAATGAAATTTTAATTTCATATTCATATCCAAATAATAGATGTATTTCTATAGTAAACGTTTTTTGCTTGCTGCTACATTTTTTTTTTTTTTTAAATGGCCATTTCTGTGTTTTGATAATTTTACTACTCGAAAAATCAAATTTAATTCTTTCAAAATATTATTATAAATTTTTATATTAAACAATAAAATAAGTCAATTCATACTTTTAGCTATGATGATTGAATGCATGGCTGGCAAAGCGGCAGCATTGCATGGTCAAGTTCACGACGCAACACCTTTCGAATTTTCTGAAGAGGACACAGCCATAGAGCATTTTGGCAAATTATTACAAGCAGGTATGGCTATTAATATTCAATTAATATTAATATTCAAAATTTCTTCTTGAGCATTCATTATATTTTCTATCATGAACAGTAACTTTAAAATTAATGTGTATTGTTGATTAAATGATATTATGAGATTTAAAAATCTATTATCTAAAAGCATATGAAATACTGATGAAGCTGTGATAATGTATTATTTTTAGGAGGATATAACTACTACGGAACAGAAAAAATGTACAGTGGTATAAATGGTTGTGAAATGAATGCTGCCATATTTTTTGGAATCGTCCATTACCAACGTTTGCGGCATATGGTGTCTGATAAGTGGCAGGTTAATATTAAATTTATTAAATCTTTAGATCCATGTTATACTTAATATACTAAAAGGATGACAGTATTACATAGCATAAGATATGATTTATATATTTTTTATAAACCTTGTTATAGAAATAAATTAAGCATATTATTAAATCTTGTTTTTTATTTAGAATTTAAACTTTCTGAGGATCATTAATTTCTTGAATAAGTCTAAAAACTCTCAAAGAGTGGTTATAGCTATAACTGATTTGTAATTTATTTATTTGATATTCAAAAACATTTTCTCTTACTTATTTTATTGTTTTAAACTGAAAAATTGTTGAATTGAATTTTCATTGGTATATCTTTTCAGGTAAGGAGCACGGGGCCGACAGATGTCGTTACAAGGCAGCCAGTCAAAGGTAGAAAAAGAGGAGGTGGTGTCAGATTTGGTGAAATGGAGCGCGATTCTTTAATATCTCATGGTGCTTCTTTCCTGTTACAAGACCGTCTCTTCCATTGTTCTGATAAAACTATGGTAATATATTTTTTTTAAACAAAAAGCCTTATCATTAAAAATATTCGAGTAAGGAAATGGTTCAGGGTGACTGTCATAAAAAGACTGAAATATTGAAATTTTTTAAAAATAGTGAAAAATTTATGACTGCAACCCCCGTCCATCTCCCTACTCTATAATATACCACGGTCAACCGTTAAGTATTCAATTAAAAAATAATCATATTAATTATTTCTTTAAACCTAAAATAATGTCTAATATTGTAAAGTTATACCATTGCTCTGATTTTCTTTGCATTATACTAATCTTTTATGAAAGGCTATATGTAATGTCTCGTTTGAAAAGCCGAAGAATACTTGTGAGAAAGTGGTGTGGTATTACTCTATTACTACTAACCAAGTAGGTGTCTACGACAACCTTTTTATGAAATTTTCTAACCTGACTTTCTCGGTTCATTGAAATAATTGTAATAGGATATGATATATAGATATAATAATAAGTTATATATGTAAGAAGAAGAATTAAATTATATTTGAATAAAAAAAAAATATGAATATTTTTCAAATAAGAATGATTTATCGCTATTATTGACAATATTAGAATACTGGATAACTAAAAAAATAATTATATTTCTAAATTTTAATGCATATATCCATTAAATTTTTTTGAAAATGGCCAAGTTTGTAAGTCCAAAACATTATTATGTATGAGAATAGAATTTTCATGAATATTATTATTTTCTTTGGGATTAACACTGATCTGATGTTTAATTTAGGATTAATTGGTTATTGAAAATAATTTACTGTTAATAAAATAATATTATTTATAAAGCCTTGATTCAAAAAATTTCAATTACTACATTCCATCTTTGATAAATAAAAACTTGTAAAAAAATCTCTTCGGTAACAAGTTTTCCTTCTTTACATTTATGAAGAACTTAGCAACTCAGCTTACTTGACAGTAAGATTTTCAAACTTCTTTTGTTATATTCAACTCAAAAATAGCAACATCTCACATTTTTTTTTTGTTTTTCCCCAAACCTAGAGTTTTAGTTACACTTCAGTCATTTTCTGTGTAGGTTGAGTGTAACCAAGGGGCTAACCTTTTCTTGAACAAGCTACCCAAACATAATTACCTATTTAACATATTTTTAATGTTATTTCAGTTTATTTTGTTTAGTAATCTAATTTAAATAAATTTACGTAGGTCTTTTTTAAAGCTAGGATCGTTGTAATATTGGGCAAGTTCCGCTATTCTTTATCGATATTTGTCGAGTCAATAGATAGAATATTAGTCGAGTCAAAAATCTTTCGTAAACTCGGCATTCAGTTATAATGTGTTTCACTGTCAGAGGAGTCCCTTAAGTTTACGAAGAATCGCGGGACATAAGGTATCCATGGTTAAGGTGTGTATGACTTATACACAAGCGCGTAAGGATTACTTTTCCTATTTGACGATGTCCAAGAGGAAACGTCACCCTTAATCTCCCTCAATCTATTTTCATTGAAACGACATTGTATGAACAGTAAAAATTTAATAAAATATTAATTATTGATATACTACTAAATAATTTGTTTTGTTTTTTCTAGCCATATCATTTTGTTGAGTCCGATAAAATTATAAACTATATTTTAAGTTACTATTTAGGTATACTATATGCAAATATATTGATAACTAAAGAACAACAAATTTATATATATATTTTTTGTTTTTATTTACAGACTCTCATCTGTAGAACGTGTGGAACGATTATTGGACCTTTATTTATCGAAAATAGCCGCTGTGAAGATCAAAGCGATAATGAAACACTCAGGTGTAAATTATGTGATTCTGCTGGTAAAATAGAGAAATTGGACATTCCTTATATTTTCAGGTTTTTAGTGGTCCAACTGGCATCAGTTAATATAAAATTGAAAATAAAGCTGGAAGGAAACACCATTTAATCTCTATAATAACAAATGTATATAGTGTATATGTTTTATTTGTTAACTATGTTTATTGTTAAATGTGATACTGAATACATTATTGTTGTAAATGTGTTTTGATTTTTTATTATAAGATATTGTTATTTTCTTATCTTGTAAAATATAAAAAATTTATTGATGTGGTTTTATTACATATTAGATTTTTAAAAAATAAATAGGATCCATCCAACCTATCCGTTAATTTAGTGTATGAAAAATACTATAGAAGGCTAAAGCTTTTCTGTTATCTGGGCGTGTCTAAGTAACAAAGCACTTAAAATTGTTTCCTGTATTACTTTTAATAATAGTAATGAACTCTGGTACCTTTAAAATGAATCAGTCTCTTAAGTAATAGATTATCTTATCTGCATTACAAGTACAAACAGACGCAATGTTCATATCTAATTATTACATCAAATGCCGTGTGCTAGATAAATCTTAAGCACTGCTGTTGCATAATTTGTCTGGAATGTAGTTCACAAGGTTCATTTTTATGGCTATCTTTGGACGTTGAAATACTTTCAATGTGTTTAAAAAAAACTTATCATTTTTAAGTATCCAATGAAAGTTTTCTTGATTTTATAGGGTTACATTAATTTTTATCAAAATAAAAATTGATTTTAGATAAGTTAAGTTCACTAGATCTTGAATGGTCATCATATAATGAGTGGTAAAATTACTCCAAACTAACATCACTTTAATTTATTGATTGTCAGTATTTCTTTTTCATATTTATATATTTTAATTTAAACTAAACTGTTAATAGAAGCTATGGTATTTTTCCTGTCTAATTACATTCTTAAAATAATGTTAATAATAAAATTTCTAGGAATGAACACTTAATATTTGAATGATGAAATCATACCCAGAAACTATCTCTAACAAGATTCCAGGAAAGGAACAAGGAAAAAGTAATTTTATTATAGCTTAATTCCTTAGAGACCTCTCATTTTAAGAAAAAATATATTTATATTAAACCTTTTTTTTAAGGACATGAATTAATGACAAAATTTGTTCAAGAAGAATCTGATCAATTTTTTAAATAAATTGATTGATAAATTAGCTTTTTAATTTACAATTTTAAGTAACATTTTATTTTGATCAGTATTTAAACTTTGTATCAGTATTGCTTGGTTTTAATTTATCGATTTCTGCTTCTATTTATATTAAATATCCCAAGTAAGAGTAAACTGATATATATATATAGTGTGATTTGAAACTTATTCAAGGTTCAAATTCATTTTATTGACACACATTTCCATTATTATCCTTGTAAGACGATAAATTTGTTCTTTACATCTGAACTTAAATTATTTTGTAGGGTAAAAAATCTACAAATAACATAATGAAGAAAATACATATATATATATTTTTTTTTTACAGCCTGTTCATATAAGTCTTACAACTTGTAGGCCTACAAGTTTTTACAGCCTGTTCATACAAGTTGTTGGCCTCCCCTAATTAAGGGGGTATTATAATTAAGAATAATATTAAAGAATTCTTAATATTTGGTTAAATTTTAAGTTCACCAATTATTTCCTCCAAATTTATTTGAATTATATTATAGGAACAGTTCATTTCTACATATTTTTAAATAAAATATATATATATATATAAAGCAATACCATTCTGGCCATTCCATACATGTATTAAAATTTATTTGATTTAACATCAATAGTTGAAAATAATAAATTTATTGCAATTATATTAAGCTTGTTAAGTAAAAGGAAAACTAGAAATATTAAAAGTCACAAAAATTAAGGTTGGGCCAGATAGTTATAAATAAAAATTACTAAAATACAAAATTTTTAAAATGAATGAGAATCAGGAGTTCTTAAGTGATGAATCATGCCTTAAGGAACTGATTTTTTTTTCTTTTTAAAAAAACATAATCTCTGTCTCTGATAGGTGATAAGAATGTAACGTAACCTTCAAACTAAATAGTGATCGCTTTGAAGGTCACACCCAACAAGTATGACATGACCCAGTTTCAAAACAGCTATTCATAGACATTTTTTTGGCAAATTGCCCCAAGTTGACTCAAAATTGTTTAAGCTACCCTTAACTATGGTATAGAAGGTTAGAATAAAGATTTATTTTTCATAATAATTTATTGTTACGACCTATACATATCACATTTCAACAAAATGTCAACATTTACTATAAATAAATAATAAACACTTTTAAAGTGGAATAATTAATACACATCATGAGTATGTATTTTGAGAATCAGCAAAGTTTTTGTTTATCTCACTTGGCGAACTGGATAAATCTTACAATAAATAACCCGGAGTTGAGTCTTTCACCTCCTTGGAGTATTCGAACACTACTTAATGGAATCGTTATTACTTAGTTGCTTGTTCAAGATAAGCGATGAGATCAGCTCGTTCTTGTGGTTTCTTGATTCCAGCAAACACCATCTTAGTTCCTGGAATGTATTTCTTTGGATTTTCTAAATATTCAAAGAGAGTATCCTTGCTCCATGTAATACCTAAAACATATAAAAAAATATGTTAATAATGTATTTAATAAAACAAGCACCTTATTACTCATAGATTCGCCAAGAAATCAACATACCTTTGGTAATATTGGCGTCTGAATAGGTGAATCCTACGGCCTGACCCGTTTTCCTTCCTATTAATCCACTTAGATTAGGACCAACTTTATGTTTGCCGCCTTTTTCTACAGTATGACACTGAGAACATTTCTGCACAAAAACCTATAACAATAAAATTAATGGTTAATAAAAGGTGTAATAAATAGTTCACAGGATTCTAAAGACATAAAAATATTTTAGTACTTTCTAGATGAAAATATTCCTCACTAATGATACAAGAGAAGAAATTATAAGCATGAAGAAATAAAGAGGCAGTAAAGTTAGACACTTAGTAAAAAATAACATGGAATTCATAAAACAAAATTATTCATGAAGCATATAAATAAAATTTCACAGAAAAATATTTATTGATCATACACACCTTCTTTCCCTTTTCAGCATCACCAGCAGGGACTCCCATACTGACTATCTAAGTATACCTGAAGAAAAAAAATTTAATTAATTACTTATAACACTTCAAAAGAGGAGTAATTTCACAACCACGCGAAAAAAAAGACTGAGCAATTGGACTAAGGAAAGCAATTGATTGACCTTGAATACACGAGGCCATTGAATGTAGGTTAATGCTAATTATTTATAGAAATGGATATAATAATTTAAAAGCACAAAATAAAAGAAATTAACTCATTATTCGTGTAATTTAAAGTAAATTGTAAAACCTTATTACGTCTATCTCAATATTACATCAGACTAATAAAAGAACGATAATCGAGAAAATTAAAGGTTTTTCATAGAAGAAAAAGATAATTAACGTATATAAAGTTCAAATTACAACAAAAAAACGTGGGAAACTAAGCAAATAAAAGATAAGACTCACTGACTGTGGTAACTGACGAAGAACCCGTACTTCACTGAGCGAGAACCGCTTCGAAAAAGAGTAGGACTAAAAGAACCTTAAGGCGTGATCGATACCAAAGAGCAACACCCTTCTTAACGACTACTCCGAGCTCTTTGGAATGCTACCTCTTCAGTTCAGTAGTTCTAATTAGTGATGGGGTGTGGCAGAAATTTTCCGTCTCAGTTCCGAAAGTGACAGCCACTTGCGGATCCATGATTTAATTTTGGGAGAGGAGATTCAGTCTGAAAGTTTTTTTTGTTTTTTTTTATAAAAATGACGATAATTACTTAGGAAAAAAAGAAAGAAACTAACTATCTATATTAAATGGTGTTTAAGTGATTCCTTAAATCCTTTTAAAAGTAATTACACGAACAATAATACTTTAAGAGATAATTTTTAATATATTTTTCCATAAAACATGGTTATATTTTACCATTTGGGGGAAGGGGGCTTCAGCCCGAAAGCCCCCTCCCCCGTAGATCCGCCCGTGGGGACAGCTCCGGAAAAATCACTGTGACAAATCACAGTGATTTGTCACAAGTGGTTTTTTTCTCGGTGATAACTACATATAAAATGACTCCTTGGCGAAAGCGTCACTGTGAAATCACATTTTACATCTTTGAACTTATATTATAATAAAAAATAGATTTTCCAGTCATAAATTTTATATTTGACGGGGAGGAATATATCTGGGATCTGTATACAGTCCTGCAGAGAATATTATAATTTATTTAATTTTTAATTCATTTTTTTAGTCATAGTTTCAACAGTTAAATGAAAAACTTTCCGTTAATTATTTCAGACATTACTCATTCAAAAATATATAGTAATAAATGTTCAAGTCATCCAAAGTTCAAAAAGTATTTTTAATAAAATTTGACAAATAACTATTATTTTAGAATTAAATATTTCATGATTATTCTCTTAATTCATTTATTAAATAAATGATGTCAACAATGCCAAGATCGCTGAAGGGATAGAAGTGATCAGAGCTGTGCGCTTGTCGCTGTGATCACCAGCTCCGGCCCAGTCACTGTGACAGAATCACAGGTCCGCCTATATCACTAGTTCTAATAATAATAAGAATATTCTATAATAGCTCGGTTATCGTCTCAATTCTTTCAATAATTATTTTTTATATTAATTCTTATTATACAAGGGCAGAGACAATTGTTTAAAATAAATTCAATTTTAATTTATGTACGATATACTGCATCACAGGGTCGCAGTCACAATTCTTCAGTTTTCTATTTTTTTTTTTTTTTCATATTATACAAAGTCAAAAAAATAAAAAGTTATGAAGCAATATTGTCTAGAGTTGTGGGCAGACCAAAAGAAACAAAAAGGAAAATCAATCTCGTTATTTTTTTTTTTTTACTTTAAAATACATTAAACAGAGAACATAAATGAAACTTTTATCATTCTACATAAGAGCAGGAACGTTCAAAATTTGAAATAATCTTTGTAATGATAAATGTAATTTTTACTTTTGATTGATTTAATTTCACATTGTTGTATCATTTAATAAATGTTAGTGAATGTATATATTATTACCTTCTTTTTTTAAAAATATATTCTGATAGGTTTCATACTGTGTTTACTTAATCTATTCTATCTAATTTCTCCAAAAATTCTATTCTTTAATAAGTATCAATACTTGCATTTTATCTCGGCATTAAAACTAAACTGAATAAGAGATATGTAGTTAGACATGATATTCTGGTCGACTTCACACTGTTCAGTTTTATAAGAAAGAACTTTATATTCAGATTCAATATTAATCTTAGTATGTGTCAGCCCAATCGGATTTACGAGGAAAATAGGACAAAAAAGACGTTTGAATGTAAAATAAATAATGGCCACTACTCTGTGTGATAATTCCACTTACAACCGATATTTGTTTTCATTCACTCAGAAGAACCAGGTAGTGTAAATAAATGCAAAGCATTTATTAATTAGTGAGTACCTTCTCGTTCAAAATCGTCGTTGATTCCAACAGAAGCTTTGCATTTCACAGGTCAGAGACCACTCTAAGCGGCTTGGCTAGACGCGGACGTCAACAGGCAGTGAATGACTAGTTATTTTGAAGAGAAGCCAAATGGCAACTGCACAAATGGATCGTGTGAGGGGGCTTTAATTCAGGAACTTTATCAACTCAGATTTTTTTAAATAGCTGAACATCTTATCAAAGTAGTAATGAATTATCCATCTTCCTGGACACAACTCATTGTTTCTGAAATCATAACTGCATGTGATTTGTATCCATTGGTATGATTTTCCTTTCTCTGGTTAGTTCATGACTTACAGTTGAAATGGAACTATTCACTAGCGGATTCAGGATTTAATTTTGGGGGGGCTTCAGTCCAAAAGATTTTTTTTTCATATATGTATAACAATAATTAATTAGAAAAAATAAATAAAGAAATTAGCTACCTATATGAAATGGTGTTTAAGTGGTTCTTGAAGTACTATTAAATGTAATTACACAAACAAGAATACTTTAAGAGATAGTTTTTAATATAATTTTCTGTAAAACATGGTTATATTTAACCATTTTGGGGGAGGGAGGGAGAGGGCTTCAGCTGGAAAGTCCCCCATAGATCCACCTGTGGAACTGTTTATTGTTGTTGATTACTAAATTAAAATCACTTGATTCTCATTCCACCATCTTTTTATGTAGGTCTGTAAATCTCAACCATATTAGAATATTATGGTATAATTATTCTGCTACATAATCAAACTATTGTATAAGTTAAAGTTGATGGGTCTGCCTAGGTTTCAATATACTAAGATGACTATTTTATCAATAATTAAAATGAGAAAGCTGAAATAAATTTTAACCCCTCATAGAGAAGCATAATTGAACCCAAAAAGAGGTCTCCTAAAAGTTGAACACTATTAATTAACCATATTAATAACTCAAATTTGATTATTTACTAATGGAATTACATCATCTATAAATTGCTGAATATTTAACAGAAAATAAATATATCTGTAAAGACATTCTCATTTTTTTCCTGTATAAAATTTCTCTAAAACTCCTCTCTTAATATTGTAATTCTAATCAACTAATCCCAAGTAATGTTAATATTCTAAATCTAAATGATTAAGCAATATAAAAAAAAAAAATCTTCCTTCCACCTGTAAAATTCCCTGAAATCGTCTTATCTGTCTGTCACCATGATTTTATAACATAGTGGGTCCATCATTACTAAAAATTTACAATTTGCTGCTAGATGCTACTCATATCAAATTTAAGTCTTTAATATCAATATTATATTAAATGAACTTTAATATTAATATTTAATATTACATTTATTGATCCTATTAACTTCAAAATAATTGGCTAAAAATAGTGAGTAAATTCCTAACTAAAAATATTTATTTAAAAAAAAAATGGCTAGCAAATATATGAGGATAAGAAAAAATAGAACAACATGTTTATGATTAGCAAGTCAATATCTACTATTTGCAAACTATAGAACTTCAAAGGAGAAACAAAAAAAATTTTTTTTTTACCTCAAACATAAAATTTATTTCATCTCTCTCTCTCTCTCTCTCTCTCTCTCTCTCTCTCTCTCTATATATATATATATATATATATATATATATATATATATATATATTACTAAAAATTTGTTTACAACACTTTAAGGTCAAATGTTGTAATAACCCCTACCGCCATTTATTTATTTTTTTCTGATTTAATAATAATCTGCTACTTACTGGATTTCATACTATATTAGTAAAATAGTAATATATTAGTATTCTTTTTTTTTTTTTTTTTCTTGCCACTTCCAGGAATTTTATTATATATATTAGTAATAATGCATTATTTTAATTTCATTCTCTGGATGAATCAAATTCATCAGGTAGGAAGATATAAAATCAAACAAATTACAAAATAGGATATATCAACAGTTCAGGCAGATTTTAAAAACATTAACAAAAGTAAGAAGGCCTAAATAAATTGGCTACATAACGATCTCAACAAATGATCGACTTCCTGAGATAGCCCTGGTTATGGAATGTAGTTTAGCACTCACTATTCGAGGAGCGAAGGCTAAGTAACAGATACAAATATTTTAGTTTTAATCTTTTAAATAATTACTCATTTATTAATCATTCATTTAAAAATAAAGTCATTAATGATAATTTATTATTTAACCAAAAAAATATCCAAGAAAAAATATTTATTGATTAAAGATCAATTTATTCTATAGTTACATTTTTATTTTGTGGTCATTAAATCAGGCCATATACATTTTGTTTTCCTCTTTATTACTCAATTCAAAACTGTCAATGGTCATTGATAGCCTGCGAAAGTGCTCACAATAAACAAGTTCTATGAAAAATGCTGGGCGTAATAGGCATGAGAAAGAAGATTCCACAGCGGCTAATCTTTTGAATCTTTTTTTTAGATTTCTGAACCTTGTTGTATGGAGAAAAATTTATCGGAGAGGAAAGATTGTAGTATGTGGAAAGAAGTATTGTTCTGAGTTTGATGAGAAGCCTCTTGTGCCAGACTCTGTCAAATGGGCCTGCAACATATATATACAATGTGCCAGTGGCATACATCTTTTGCACCAATGTTATTGATGTATAATCTGTAATTCTGAGTAGAATGTAGAAAACATCATCCAAATTGATCTGGTAGAAATTTTTGGTTTGTTAATATGGTAATAAGTCTTTTGTATAGTAACTTTTCAAAAATGTTGGCACATAAAGGAAGTAAGGTCTGTACCATGAAGTCACCTTATAGATGACTTTTATAAGCAAACCGATATGTAACACCAGCACATACAATGATCTGAGATGTCTAACCAAGTTTTAATTATTTTTTAAGAATTAATTTTCTAGCTATGAGAAATGTTTAAGTAGAATATTCATCATCACTAGACAAATAAACTTTCTTAGACATATCAGATCTCTGAGATGGATTGCATATGTTGGGTGATTAAGAAACTTGCCATAAAAAAAAAAAAAAAAAAAAAAAAAAAAAAAAAAAAAAAAAAAAAATGTAATTCTTAAT